GTATCTTGATCTGGAATATGTACAGAATACATACGTAAAAAAATATTGACCTATATCCTTAAGACTTGTGTACTTTTCTTTATATGTTATAAGAATTAAAAAATATGGGTTTTGGGTAACTCACAGCCTCTCCGGGGGAGGAGCCGTGGAAGAGAACCAGATTTGGAGGCTGTGAAACCAGGAACAATGTCCCAGTTCAGTCACTGATTCATCCATTGACGACTCTTGTGCTGCCACTAGGCCACTACAGCTTATATCTCTTAGAGCTCTAATGCTAGACATGGTATACTGCCACCAAAACTGCTCCCACAGCTGTTTCTGTGCCACCTTGCCACCACCCTGGCCAGAATGGATTAGCCATAAGACTGGTCATGTGTGACCAAGCTTGCGATTCAAAGTCTGGGGCAGGGATATCGGCTTGGCAGGGCCTTGGCACTTGCCCCTTAGTTGCAAGAGAGGTTTGCAGACAAAGCATCTGCTACCATTTCATAAACTGGGGATACCTAAAACTTAAGATGGGTATTCCAATATGAAGCATCCCAAAAGCATACAAAATGTCTGTGCAAGGTAGATAATTCAGTTTCTCAACAAATACTTACAGTGTTTCCATGTGTACTAGCCATTGTGTTGCTGGAGGAAATCCTTGAGTTGCTTTTCTATTAAACTGTTGTTTTTTTCTCACTTAACTTGCAGGAAGGGAAGGAATTTGTGCCCATTCAGGGTGAAGCTTTTGAGAGACTAAGTTTAGATCTTAAGTAGTAGATTAGTTCTTTTATTTCCAGACCAACATGAGTTCACTTTTCCTTTTATAGGTTTATAAAAAGCAAGAGAAATGATCTCAACTATCTTTTCTTAATAGAAAAGGATTGATTACTTTCAATAATGAACTTGAGCCATTGGAATACTTATTAATGGCAGTAGGTTCAGCTTATGGAGGTCTTGGCATATTGTCAGTATCTTGCCTCCACAGCTCCATTCTTGCCATTGTTGCAAAACTACTGATGGCCCAGGCTCTGTGCCTTGGGGTATAGTTGCAACATCAAAAACAAGAACAAAAATCAACTTGGAGGCTGTTGTGCTGATGAGGAGTTGACAAGCAATTGTTTTTGGAAACTTTCCTCTTTGCTAAAGTTAGTTTAAGGAACAAAAAATGACAGATTAATTTTAAACAATACAAAATATTGTTTTTCATGCAAAGATGAAGGATGGTGGTGAAATAAGGTATTGGCTGGAATTTAGACAGAATTACAAAACCCTGTTCTCAAAACAGTGGAGATGACGTGCTAGAAGCCTATAATGGCAGGTGCTCTGTGTGTGTTAGTGTGTATGTGTGTATGAGAGAGAGAGAGAGAGAGAGAGAGAGAGAGAAGAGAACAAGAGTGCTGTAAGCATTTGAAACAAGTTCCACAGACAGTGTAGATGCGGTATATAGAATAGAACCACTAGCATTGTCTTGAGTATTTATTAAGATATCAGTAAATATCTGTGGCCTAAACTTGGAACATTCTAAAAGGACTTTCCTACCTTGAATATTATATTAATAGGATAAGAGGGAGATATTGGCTCTTTGGTTATAGCATCCATACAACCGTATGATTTCTGAAGAATATTTAGTGGGACTTTGATTAGTATTCTAAAAATGAGTACAAATAAAATTCCACATGTATTTAGTTCCAAGGTAGCTGTGAAGTGAACCAATGGATATAACCAAGATGAGAATTTGCTGAACACATAAGACCTTGGTTAACAACATCTCTGATAAAGCCCTGACCAGAACCACAGGCACATTTGAAGGGCTTTTCTAAGGTCAAACTGCATTAATTGCACCCTCTGTAGAAATACAGACTTTCTAGCAATGTTCCTCTCAATATTTAGAGGTTACAGTAGACATAAAAAAGTTTACTTTTGTTAACACAGCGCACAAGTCTGTCACACACACTTCTTATTTTATTCCATTTGTCAAGGATCTTTTGGTTGAAAGTGATAGAAATTCTAGTCAAAGGAGGAAAGCAAATTATTTGCTCATTTAAATTCAAAGTTCAGAAGCTAGGCTAGTTCTCAGCACAGCTGGATTTACTTGAATCCCAGCAGAAATCTGCCTTTTCCCATCTCTGCTCTCCATTCCTTTGTGTTGATTTCCTTCTCTGTTGGGCTTTCTCTACGGGGGGCGGGGGGGGGGGGAATGCTGAACAATGCAGCTCCAAGCTTTGTTGGTCCTTACAACTCATAAGCCCAGAAGAGAGTGAAGACTTCTTTCTTCCATTCTGGGTGTAAATATTTGAAAAGAACTCTACCTGGGTCAGTACCCACCAGGTGATCATGCTGTGCATGTGCACTGGGAAGGTGAGAAAGACCCCTTCGAAAAGGTGACAAAGAAGGACAGGGAAGGGAGACAGTGAATAGAGTTCTAGGGGCTGTCTTGTGGGAATCCTGGGGTTAGATGAAATGAGGGATTAGTGTGAAAAAGAGAAGAAATTGTGCAGAGGCCACGCTAGCTGCCACATTGCCTCTTCTTACCCATCTCCCACCTTCCTAGACTTCCTAGATTAAACAGACCCATCTCCCAGGCCCTTTGCCTTGGACACAGTATGATTTGGGGGCAGGCTGAAAGGTATTTCTATCTAAAATATCTATTTCCAGTTGCACAGTGTGTCTGGAGTGAGTTTCACTTGTGGCAAAGCACTTGCTTCTAGATTAATCTTTTATAGAAAGAAGAAAAAACCCCAAATGCAAATATCTGGCAGATGTCTCATTCATGAGAACATCAGTCAGGCACACCTGGCTGCTTTCTGTAACTCTCTGGAGGTCAGAAGGCCTAGGGCTCCTGAGAGGGGAAGGAGTGCCCACGGACTGGCCCCCACCCACATCAGGCCCAGGGGCTGTGTGCAGAGACTAGCTATGGTTGAAGAAATGCTGAAAGGAATTGAGGTCTTAACTTACAAGAAAAAAATCTATATATTTGGGCACTGAGGTCAAGGTCCCTGTCCTTGGACTACCCCTATTCTGAAGAGATCAATTGCAGAGGTTTTTCTTATAATTTGTACAACCTGCCGCTGTATCACAGGTTAGCGTGGGGATGCAGACACGGAGATGAGCAGAGACGAGGTCTTGGACAATTCTGACACCATAGCAGAGAGCTTATACATTTTATCCTTCTTTTAAATAACCCAAATAACAACTCTTTCAAAGTGCAAAACAAAAATTAAAAGATTTATTAAAGAAGGATGACAGCATATTCCTAACATGAGGAAGAATGTGACAGTTATTTTTTACAAAGTATTTCATTCTTGCCTAAGCGTGCCTAAGTGACTTGCCTAAGCATGAAAGCAAAAACAAAGAAAAACAAAATAAAACTAAAACTTGATGCTACCTAGTAACTTTCATGAGGCAACCATAACTTTTCTAAGTCATGCTTCAGAACTGTTGAATTTCTTAAACATATGTGCTGTTGGCCACATGCAATCTTTACTCCTCGCCCCTCTCATTGGTCTTAATTTCCCTTCAAAAGGACATGAAGCAGAAAAGATAGTAAGGGGGCAAAAGCATAATTCAAAAACATAGATTAAAGTAACTTTTTGTCTCTGGTTCTATGTTCAAATTCATTTTTTCTGACCTCAGGAGAAAGCAATAAAACCAATTCTCTAGCTCTTGTTGTGTCTCTTTCTCTCTCCCTCCACACATTTCTGAATAATTTTCAATCCACTTGTTATTGTGTGTAACTGTATTTAACCAGAAGTACTTACTATATTTTTATCACACTTTGGAGCAATTTTCATGAGGAATTGTGCAAATATTCTCTAACTTGTCACAAGAAAGACAACCTTAAACACTTAGGTGAGACTAAGCCCAAAGTGAAGAAGGCAGCTTTCTGTTGATTACGTCGAGCTTTAGGTCACACCCCTTTCCTGGGATGCGGGGTGGGCAGTAAAGCCTCTAGGAACTTGTTGGAAGGCTTTAACTGAACCTTAATCTCTGCCAACACCAAGCCTTCTCCTGAGTAACCTATCACCCACTGTGTGCTTTCAGCTTCAAGCCAACATCTCTACCTGGTCCTCAACCATCCCCTACATCCCTAAGCTGTCATTCATAAGATCCTTGTACATGGAAATTATGAACATGCAACCAGCAAGAGACTCTTTGTAGGGAGGTTAGAGTAGTAAGTGTGGTATAAATTAGAGTTAAGTTTTCTTTTTTACTTTGTTGCTGAAAAATGGTATACCTGATTTTGAGAATAAGGTTAAATTCTTCTAAGGCAATATTACAAAATAAAACAAAAACAGATATAACAACCTTAATGTGAGTGTGTGCTAAACAAGGGAAATTGAATTGAGTAGATATCTTCTGGTATTTGCATGTTATTGTGGATAAACTTAATCTAGATAGCAATCCAGAGATCATAAGTATTTTTAAAACACTATTCTTATTTACATAGATAAAAAATTGGTTCATTAAGTAAAAATAATTTATAATAAAAAATAACTGCATGAAAAATTATATTGACATAAAATAGAAATATATAGGAAAATAATTCATTCATGTAAAAATTTCATTCATATAAAAGTTGGCACATCTATGTCAAATTGTCTCCATAGAGAGTGAAAAAGAATGCTTCAGGATTGCTTGTCTATAATGTCATTTGTCAAAAATTAATTCAACAACAGTTTGTTAAATGCCTACTATTTCATGCTTCTTACATTTTTTAGAAGAATGGAGATTATTGTTAGGGATGCTACATTCAGAAGTAAAGCTCTGGAATTCATATGGCCCTTATTCTCTTCCTCTTCTTTAAATTCTAATGTGTTTTTTGGGGGGAGCACATTGCTTCAATTTAGTTTATGGATGAAATATAAAAGAAGAAAGAACGGATAAACAAAGAAGTTGCAAAAGAGTAACATTGCTTTAAGAAAATATAAAAACAATCGTCAATGAGACCCTTCAAACATGGGCCATCCCATTTTCAGAGAGCTTTTGATTTCCTTGTGTAGATCACGCCACACCCCTCAAGGGATCTCCACACATCTCTCTTCGCTTCTCTGACTTCTTCTGTCTAGCATCGGCCGATATATTTCAGCTACTACACAGTAACCAGTGTGAGGTGTTAGAGCTTCAATTTCAACATTTCTGTGAGCTCCTTCATAGACCTTTTGCTCCTATACACATGGAAAATAAAAAGGATGATAAATGGTTTTCAGTAAGCCACTGATTTTCTCTACTTTTGATGTAATCGGTAAGTTGTTCCTGGTCACAGTAGCAGATGGGCTATAGGATTTCTTCCCAGAAACATCCCCCTTCTCCAGAGTTCTGAATGAACAGGCAGATCAAGTGGCTGTGCAAGTACGACATGAGGGCCGCTGATTGACTGGCCCAGTGCTGTCTCTTTTTCAAGAATTTGAACTGCGCAGTGAGGAGAATTGAGTAGATTTGGAGACAGCTGTAGATATGCAGCTTGTGAGCACAGAGAGGCAGATTGGGGCTCTTCTTTAAAAACCTGCTTCGCAATTTAGCCTTCCCAATTCTCTGCTAAGCCTGACAGTACTTTACCTCTTGCTTCTGACTGTAAGATTGTCTGTTATTTCCTAATTAAACTCCCTCCATCCACTTACCTATTTTCTATTTGGACCAGATTGAATGGCGTTCTGGTCCTCATAACTTAAGGAACCCTGTGTTAAGTGGCCACCCAAAAAGGAACATTCAATTAACCACCAAATCAAGATAAAGACATGACAATGAATTAAAATGTCATAGCAAAACGGCACAAACATAAAATGCTCTGATCCAAAAGCCACTTTCAAATAAAGTGTGGAAAGTCCATAAAAATGAATATTTGTGGCAGTGAAATGGAATTAAACATTGTTAATACCAATCTTTAGATATTCAGGGAAGGTCAAGTGGAGACAAGATGAGTGACTGAAGAGATGGAGACACAGACACAAATTCTGAAGGTAATGCCAAGCACTAATTCCTTATCAGTGAGGGCGGAAATGAGAAGGAACTAAAAAATATATAAGAAAAAATAAGAAGGATACAGAAGCAAGAGAGAAGACATTTTATGGCTATAATGTTAGTCAAATGAACAAAAGAAAAACAAAATACCAGATTGGTCTATTAATCTGAACTTACCTTTTTTAATGAATTGTTAATTATAAAGACTCGGTATACTAGCTCATAGTAATTTTCCATTGATACATTATTTCCTTTTTGGTTTCTGTATTGTATATTTGGGGCATGGAGAATCACAAACAAGGATCCATTAACTTGGGTTACATTCATGACTGGAGGATCTATTTTTGCTGGAGAAAGAATAGGAAATTTTGACAATCATTTTAAAAATGTAATGTTCATATGGATACATTATGCATAATAACAAACCATTATTAAGTTTAGAGATCTGGCAAAAATAATTATGAAGGAGTACCTCTGCCACTAAAATATAATTATCTGAGAAGTTTCTTTAAAGATAATTCTTTATTTACAAAGACTAATAGATTCTGTTTCAGCTTTAAAAGTACATTTATTTTGTCTTAGTCTCCTTTTAAGATTTACCTTTCCAACTGAGGCAACTTTTGTCTGGATTCCTTTGATACCTGGTTTTATTCAACATTCCCTCCCAGACAACATTTTCTTCTTAGACAATTCTATCAATGCTCACTGTACTATATGCAAATGACTCACAAATTTGTGTCTCTAGTAGTCCTGGATCTGTGTAAATATATTCCTTGGGTGTCTGAAACCTCAAATGCTGCTTTTAACTTAATAAGTTTTAACTTAATAACTTAATAAGTCTGTCTCTTGATAGACACCAGGAACCAGAACCTTGTAGCCTAAAATAATGCCCGCTACTCAGAAACAGTTCCCAGGTGGGTCAGTGCATCCGGCTGGCTCATTAGGCCTTTATGACAGGCTCTAGGAACATGCTGTCTTAACATCCTAGAACTGTGTTTTCCAAAACATGTTCTCCAGAAAACCTTGGGATCTGTGACAGGAGAAGACAAAGCTAGAGGGTGAGGAGACAGAGGAGTTGGGGGGCTGTTACTATTGCTTCAGCAAGTCACTGGGATTTTAACTTTTATTTTTATACACTGGTTTTCTTACTCGTCTACCTAAACAGTCTTGGCCTAAAGCTTTTTAATTTCTTTTTCTTCTTAATGGGGTCTAGAAATAACACAAACCTTTCTTAACACTATCTAAGTTTAAATATAATTGAGCCAAAGTTTCTTCTCATCTTAGCAAATGTGTTTGGCTAATCTCACCAAGCATCCTAGTGGGTCATAATCAAGAAGGCTTTATTTAATGGATAAATTTAAACTGGACCCCATTTCTAGGCTTAAATACAATGAGTAAGCTGTCTTGAAAAATTCCCCTCACTGGTGTATAACAGCTTAGTCGTGCAATCTCTTTTTCTTCAGCGAGAGAATTGGTGCAGTGGACTGAGCTTGAAACTCAAATTAGTTCAAGAAACAATGCGTTGGGTACCATGGATTGGTTGGCTCAATTCTTATTCTGCTCTCCTACTAGTTGAAGAAATAGAAAACTAAATATGACTTTTTCTAAACTCGACTGCATCTAGCATTTGGCCATGATCCAATTATTAATAGTTTGGCCCCAATGGGACACTGTACCAGTTAGATCATTAGGGTGAAGTTTGGAAGGCAAGTGAGGTAATAATGCTGCAAGTTTTAAGATAAATCTTCTTTCATTCTTCCCTGAGGGTAATTGCAAAATGGAGAAAGGTAAGTACAGATGCTTTGCCTAATAATGGATCCTGATTCTGAGCTGATGATAATCTTTGGGGACTCAGAATGCACTGTGGGTTCTTGCAGCTGTCAGGTAATAAAAGCAAATTCAATGAGGCATATACACATACAACAACTCACAGAATCAATTTCCTTTTTGGTTTTCTGGGCTGTGGCATGAAACTTATTATGAAATGAAAGGTCAAATGGAAGCCAATGGAATTCTTCTTTTGAACAAAATAGAAAATCAAAAGTACTGTTGTATCCCTGGGGAAACTGCAGAGTTTCATGCATCAAAAACACCTTGAATGATGCAGAGGCAGTAAGATATATCACTTCCATATTTAACTCATTTATTTGAGTTATACCCTCTCCCCCCACAAAAAAGATTGAATAATAAAAGGGGTAATTGTAAATGTACTCAGACGGTGACCATGGTGTGATTTCTATTCATTATAGTGTCTCTGTTCTGGAGCCAATCAGCACAGCCTTTAATATACAGTTACTGCTTTGGAGAATGATTTTCCCCTCCTTTGTCAAATAATTAGAAAGTACCAGGACAGTTTCCTTTCACTTAGCTTTCATTGTCATCCTGGCTCCCTGTCACATGTAATATACAGAGTCATTGGTCCTTTCACAGGATGACATGTTGGTTCACTAAATTAATCACATGATACTGATTGTACTTGGTGTGCCCGAGTACTAGGCACTACAGGTGCTTTAGAAGCAAAATGTTGGAGTTAAATTTCATCTGGGGTTTGTTGAGACATTTCTTCTCATGTGAAAGACAAGTGGCTTTACTTTGCATCCCCTATTGGTAAGAAACACTCACTGGGCTTGTTAGACCTCCATGAATTTTGGATGAAACATATACCACATTTAGCTGTGCTACCCATTTGCAAAGTATCCAATGAGCTTTTGAGCTTTTGAGTGTTGATTTCTCCACATCCTCAGCAACACTTACCTGAAGTTTTATAATCAAAAAGTCAGGTAAGTGTTTCTGAGAATGTGCATAAATCAGAACCTCATATACTGCTTATTGGAATGTAAAATGGTATAGCTGCTTTGGGAAAGAGTCTGTCAGTTCTTCAAATGATTAAACATAGAGTTACCATGTGACCCAGTAATTCCATTCCTAAGGTATGCACCACAAATAAAAACATATGTTTACACAAAAACTTGTACCTGAATGACTATAGGAGCACAATTCATAATGGTCAAAAGGTGAAAACAATGCAAATGTCCATCAACTGAAGAACGAATAAACAAAATGTGGTATATCCATATACTGGAATGTTATTCAGCCACAAAAAGAAATAAAGTCCTAAAACATGGTGAAACATACGCGAACCTTGAAAGCATTGTACTAAATGAAAGAGGCTAGTTGCCAAAGACCACATATTATAAATCCATTCATATGAAATGTCCAAAACAGGGAAGGTTATGGAGACAGAAAGTAGATTAGTATTGCTTAGGGCTGAAGGGCTGGATAAGCAAAGGAATAGGAGGGTGATGCCAATGCATGTGGAGTTTCTCTTTGAGATGATAAAAATGTTCTAAAATTGAATGTGGGGGAGGGTTGTACATATCTGTGAATATACTTTAACAATTGAATTGTACACATTATATGGATAATAATAAGGGGTGTGAATTATAGCTCAATAAAGGTGTTTTAAAAAATCTAGGTGGGAGTGGTGAAGGCCTATTTCCTCAATGCCCCATACTTGCTTGATGAGTTCGTGAACAAAATGGTTGTGTGAAATGGATGGAGACTAGTTATAGACTCAACGGAATGGACTTCCTCTTGCCCAGGCTGGGAATTGGACTGCCAAGTGTCCAATTTCCTAGTAAAAGTAACCAACTCTAGTATACAGTTCTTTTTATATCATAGATTTTTTTATTCATTTCAACAGGGAGAGGACAAGTGACACTGGAATACTTTGCTGATTACAGATTTGTCTTCTCTGCATCAGTGCTTTTATGAGCGATCCCCCGACCACCCCCACACCGTAGATGCAATGAACACCTTCTTCATGAGCATGGTGGCCACAAAGTATTCCTTATGACAGAAGAACTAAGCTAATTTGGAAGAAGGGAAGCCTTACCATATATCTCATCACTCAGCAACCCATGGCTTTATAGAAAAATAAAGTGGATAATGGAAAACTCAGCTTGGGAGACAACACCTAAAGAAGTCATCTATGAATTGGTATATGCTCTAATTTTGTGGCCAATATGTGGTGCTATTTCCCCCATAGACAGAATTCACTGGTTTAAGATGCAAGACATGGGAGTGGTGGAGGGGGGCAATTCTTATAGTGAAGGGCCCATGAAACGATAGTTTCTCATACACCTGATCTTGATACTTTTGGTTATGACCACAAAGGTTTCAAAAAATTCAAAGTTAAGTCTTCCTCTTAACTGTTTGAAGCTCTTGGTGGCATTTAACCAACAAGGAGAAAATGAGGTCCTCGTGTTGTCTAGGACAATTGGTTCTGATTATCAAAGAGAAATAGAATTGTTACATGTACAATGGGGTCAGAAGAAGTATGCTTGGTATCCTCTGAGATATCTCTTAGAACTCTATATCCTGTGATAAAAATATGTCAGGATTATCCAGGAAAGGCCAAAAGGACTCAAACTCCTCCAGAATAAAGAGCTGAGGTGCTGGATGGAAATCTTATTGATTTAATAATAAGAGAAGTTACAAATATTAACTACAGCTTCACAACTAGTTGCAATTTGAGGATTATAATAAATACCTTGTGTTCTTTCTTGTTTTGCTCTGCGTATGTGTGTGCATATACATTAAAGACTTTCTTTTTTTTCTATTTCTTTTTTCTCTTTTATATAAGTTCTGTTGGTAATGATTTATAGTTTACACCTTAGATTATAATATTCTTCTTCTTCTAATGATTATTTTCAAGAACTTAACCCCCATGCTTAGGAAGGGTCTAGGGTGGTACAGTTCCTTTCTGCTGTCTAAAACTCCTGTGTTTTTCCTTTTCCTTTTTTTTTTTTTTTTTTTTTTTACCTAGGAAGTAACAATCTGGCAGAGGAATAGAGTGTCGGCTCTGCATTCAGATGCAGCTGAATTTGAATCCTGATGTAGGTTATACAGGCTGTTAGACCTGGGCAACTACTTAAGTCTCTGTGCCTTGATTTCCTGGCCTGGGAAATAGGGGTAGTAAAAACCATCTTCTAACGTTGTTCTGAGTGTTAGAACAAGTGAAATGATGGTGTGGACCTCCACAAAGCACGGAGCCTCACAACTGGCCAAGCTCTATGAGGGCTATTCAAGGGCAAGGAAAACAAATGTAAAGGAAGGCATGGAACTCACTTTCCCACCAGGGAGTGAACCGCTGCGTTGTGGTCCAGCCTGAGTGGATCCCAGCCAGGGCTGTCTTCACTCTCCCATAATAAGCCTCCTGTACATCCGAGGTTTCATTGGTAAGATCACAGAAGAATTCTTGAATACCCCAACAGTCCTCTTTATTTTTCCATTGTCCCTGTCCATACCTATAGAAAGGAAGAGAAAAACGTCTGAGTTTAGTTTTTCCAGTGAGCGAGTGTGCAGTTTTTTCAGTCTATTAATTTTTTAGACTGGTTGAAAATTGCCCTCCAATATCAGTACTACTATGAAAGCTTATGGCTACACTAAAGTATTCTTAAAAAGATTTCTCCTTGTTAACCAGAGTAATCTCTTGCTGAAAGATAAATTCAAGCCTGATATCTTCTATAAATATTTAAATACTTAGTAAAGTTTTTCTTCTGTTGTATGGATCAACTTCTGTTTTTGAGAACTAGCTCTCCACATCCTTAATGCTTCTGAGGTTTCAATTCTGTGGTTCTTCACTTCTCATCAGCTTGTTGTTGAGTAATGCGGTTGATTCTGAGAAGTTGCTACTATGTTTGATCTCAAGTGATGCTTACCCAATACATATGGTCAACTTCTTTACTGAAAATTGAGTGAGGATTGTAGTTAAGGCTGTAAAAGGAGTCCAGCAATAAGGAGCTGAAAGGAAGGGAAGAGTAACCATAAAAATTAAAAAAAAAAAAAATTAGCGAGGCAGAGGAAGACAGATGGATTCATCCTGAGACTAGGGGATGGTGTAACAGCAAACGGGATGATCAATGTTTACTTCCTTACCAGTCACAAATCAGAGAAAATGCAGTAAGATGGTGGTGAGAATGGAGCAAGTACTAGAGGCTTGGAGAAAGGCTTCCAGAATATTTGTTAGAAGGCTTGAAATCTGTGACTTCTACAGAATAAGGAATAGTGCTGATGTCTTTACTTTGTAAACTACATATCAGCAGTTTCCTTATTTCAGAAGATAACATTAAAATAGAACCAACAACAGAGATTGAGTACACTTTAATGTTTTTAAATTGTTATTTATTGATAAGACATTGTCTTTACTAGCTGAATTCAGCTGTAATGGTCTCTCTTTTAATGAGATACCTTATATTTTTTTTGTCCTATCCCAACTGGGACAAATGTTAACTCCAGATCCATGTGAATTGAATACAACCAAAGTGAAAGATTTCAAAAATATAAATCTGCATTGAGCTTTTGAAAATACCACATAGCCAGGCAGTCTGAATTTTATACAAGGTTGAGAGCCCTATTTAAGAAAAATATTATAAATAAACAATTCTTCCATGTTTTCCTAAAGTTTAACTCTCATTAGAATCATGGTAAAGCAACTTCTAATTCACTTTTTATGTTGGGCCACAAATAGGGCCACTTTTGACCTATTTCGACTGCCTAAGGGGGAAGGAAGACAAAAGGAAATATCAATCCCAACTTCCTACATGCAAGAAGCATCTCCAACCATGCACAAATCTATCTGTGGAATGGAGAAATACTTATTGTAAAGTTTTGTAAGTTATTCCCAAATATAAGAAAAGCAGCAGCAGTTAAAGACTGATAAACTTCTGGAAATATTCCTTCTGAAGTTAGTGAGAGGTTAATTAATGAAAAAAATCTGATCTTGAACCTACTCCATGCTGGAGAGACATGATGAATTTATGGAATAAAAATTGTTATTTTGGTCCATACTTGCATCTGATTTTCTGATTTTCTGATGAAAAACCTTGAAAATTAAACCATAACAAGTCCTTTCTCATGCTCAGCCAACATTGCAAACTATGTAAGGGAAGGAAGAACCTCAAAAACAAACAAACAAACAAACAAACCCAGGAAAGGTATGAGTGATAAAACCTGCCATTTGCAAATCAGGAACCTCTGTTTCCAGGCCTCGATCCAGGAAAGGAGTTGATAGTATCTGACTTTTGGCAATGATGCCCCAGAACTAGCTTGAAGATCACACAAGACGAACACGCATTGGCATGTTCCAATTTGTGTTCATGCTTACAGGAGTTGTTCATTTTTGAAATGGGTTTTCTAAATAGTAAACGCACTCTTAAAAAATGGCTTTTAAGATAAAAGTATATTTTACACACTGACCTCCATGTGTCCCACAACTTCTTTTTTAAGTATCAAGAATGCCAACTTAGTTAAATGCCTACTATGTGCTAAGCAACTCGTCTCTAACACTCACTTGACAAACAGGTATTTAAGAGTCCACCACGTGCCAGACTCTATTGTGATGCTAAAGGCTGAACCTGTAAGGTCTTGGGGTTGGGTTTTCAAAGGATGACATATGTCCCCAGCAGACTTCATGTCAACATGCATTTGTGTCACTGGGTAGCCTTCAGGGGAGAAGAGACAGTCCTGTCCCTACCTCTGCTTTTTCTCAGTCTCTCTGAAACTGAAAAGAAAGCTTAGATCCTAACACTCCATCGTGTTCTAGACCACGTTCTCCCAGTGGCCACGTCTATCAGCTGGAGAAAACTCAAATTACTTACAATTTATATTGCACAAAGTAGACACTGCTGTTGCTGGCACGAGCCCTCCCAGGCTGCCAGTGCAAAGTGTTGTGAAAATTTCGGGACTGAAAATGTACTCTCTGAGGCTTCAGAGACTCTTGGGCTGGGTGAGTTTCTAAAATAGTAAGAGAAGGAAAAACACCGAACATTGATATGGGCACCATTGTTATTAGCAACAGTTTTCAATGTAATACCTGAGTCAAGATTTCTTAAAGTCATTGCTATCAGTGCAGATGGTAGAAGCGGAGCCCAGAAATCAACATTCTGAATCTTCAATGTGATCATTTTTATGCACACTGAAGATTCAGAACAATTGTGTTTCAGACTAAAAATACATAAGTGATATATCCTCCCACCCCAGTCCCAAACTGTAGAGGAAGTAAATAGCAGTGAGAAAGTATTGTCCTTAGTTCTTTCCCTGATGGTCATGGAATGTAATGACTGAGATGAAAGACCCCCACCAAGTCCACTCACACACCTTCCTAGAAGTCACTATACTACTGCCACTCTGAGGCAGAATTTTGCCTGGGATCAATTTTGGTTCCAGAGTCTCGGGCCAGGACTTGGTTCCTCCTCTCTCAGGCTCTTGCTCAATCTCTGGGTCCTGCCTCAGTGCCCTCCACCTCTCCCAGCAGAGCCAGCTGCATTCCAGGTAGCCGGCCTTTGCTGTCCCACTCCTTCATGGGTGAGCTTACCTGCCTGCATCCTGGCTTCCAGGAGCCAAGCACAGTTGCTCAGATAAACGGGTAATGGTCTTGCCCAGGGAGACTGTCCAAGACCCTGCCATGGGGCCTAGTGTCCCTGAGAAGAGTCTCAACAGCAATCAAGGCAGGAAAGGAGATTATTTTGCATGTGGCTTGTACTTTCCTCTTCAGATCACGAGGCATGTGTGGCCCAATCTCACCTGCACTTAGTCCCATGGAGGCAAGAGACCTTTGACAAAATTTTATTCTAGAATCTGAAGAAAACCAGAATACATCGCCCCAAAATATGCTTCTTTGACATAAAAATTATTTTGAGCTCAAGGCAAGTGAGCAATAAATTCAGGAAAAGTTTTTTAAACCCTCCCCCCTTTTCTGCCTAAAGGCAGGATATAAAGTCTCCTTTTACTGGAGATAGACTCATATCAGCTCAGAGACGGAACCTGAGGAACCTGCAAACAATCTATCTTCCTGTCATATTTAATTTTTCCAGAGTTTTCCACTTTTGGAAGCCTAAAATTGCTTGCATTTCTTCTGTCATGTCTCTACAAATGTATTTTTTCCCCCCCTGAAGATGCTAAATAAGCTAGCATTCTAACTCACCAATTTGAGTTACTCTTTATTTAGGTTTCTCCTTTGTGATGTGCTCTGCATGCATTAGTAGCCTGTTTTTATCTTGTCAATATTTCTTTTTGTTAAAGAGTCCCAGCCATAAACCTAAGATGGGCAGAGGTAAAGCTTTACCTCCTCAGCAGATCCAAAGTTTCTAAAAAGGGGTAGGAAGATGGGCAGAAAGAGGAGTCAGGAAGCATATCCTGTCTTTGTCCTGACCTTGTTTTCTTTCCTGTGTTCCACTGTGGTGGGTGTGGTCTCCACTGAGGGTCTCTGCAAAAGACTCTGATCCCTTTTCCTGGAATAGTCATCCCTGGATTTCCACATACCTCAAATCTTTGCTCAAAAACCATTGAAGTAGAAATAAATACTCCTAAGCCCATGATCTCAGCTCTGAACATTCAAGATTTGTTATTTCCTAATGTCTCTTTAGGTGTTTTTTACTAACCAAATAGTGATAATACTGTTATTTGGGGGCCTTTGTTTTTATTTTTTGGACCTCCTTCAGTACATCAAATGGTGGCATGTACTTGGAAAGACTCTATTGCCACCATTAATTTTACTCACCAAAATCGCTACCTAATCAATCATATTTAGTACATAGAAATTCCAGAAGTTTTCAGGAGCTGACAGGCACAAATTCCTGAAGCCCTTGCCTAGAGTTGGTTTGCTACCCTGAAGATAGGTGGCTCAGGGTCCCTTATCTCATTTGTCTAGGGATTTCTTCTCTCACCAGGACCACAAAAACAATAGCAAATCACTCTGTATCAGACACTCAGGGGCTTTTACCTGCAGTAACTCATGTACACTGCTCAGCTCTCCTATGAAAAAGGTACTATTGTGACCTTTGTCTTACAGACTAAAAACTAAGCCCTGAGGAGCAGAAGGAACTTGTGCAGCAGCAAACTCCAGAGCCTGCCTGTCGCCACAGAAAACCAAGAACAAAGCTTTGGAGAGAGGAGCTAATGGAAAGAGTAAAACAGCTAAAGGCTGGAGATATTCCCCCTTTTCCTCCTCCTTTCCCTCTTCCTCCCAGCTAGCAGTCATTGAATACTGACCACATATGAATATTAAACATGTATCAGGCACAATGCTCAAAGCTTTACTTCTAATTCCACTCTCATAAACAGCAAATAAGGCAGGTGTTTTTATTACTATTTTTACAATATGGAAGCTGAGACTTAAAGAAGTTGCATATCTTGCCCAAGGTTACAGTTGTGGTAAGATGCAGGGCCAGCGCCATTCCGGTGGCATATGGATGCCTGCCATATTGGGCCAAAGGCATAGTCTACATAACTCCACACATTTCTGGGATAGGGAGGCTGGAATTGCTTTTATGTTGTCAGTCACGAAGCAGCTGTACAGTTTCAGGAGACTTACGTGAGCCACTTACACCCAGAGGTATCCATCTGTCAACTGGGGGTCCTGATGGCTTTGCTCAGAGGTGTGCTGAGGTGATAAGAGGGCCTCTTCTCTTGAAGAGTTCTCCAGGAACACCAAGAGCAAATTCTCACATGTCTTTTACTGTTTCTAGTCTGCACCAGGCATGGCTCTAAGTACTTATATTCATCCATTAATTTAATCCTCACAACACACAGAATTCCCATTCCACAGATGACAGATTTTAAGCACAGGGGTCGTAAGTCAATTGCCCAAGGTTTGTTTTAAAGAGTAAAGAGGCAGAGCTGAAATCTAGACTCAGACAGTCTGACTTAGGAGACTGCTTGTACCCATTGTGCTATCATGTCCCCTGAAGGTAAAAGAAATGGTAAGGAGGCAGAGGTGGATGCGCATTGGTCCTGGATGGAGTTTTTTGCACCCACTAGGAGTGCCTCCTCTGGAGTAGCTACTCAATAAGCCCATGTGGAGCTATTCAGGCTGCAGACAGAAACTGACCCCACATCTGTTCTGAATATTTCATGACAGAAGAGAGCTGAAATTTTTACAAAGCCCAGGAAAGCATCAGTGCCCTTTCTAGCAGTCCCTTGAGCACACTCAGGTGACAAAACTGTGAGCAACGAAAAAGAAATGAAGCACTTACCTGCTACACCCATCAAGAAGAAGCTGATGAGGAAGCCTAGGAAGCTATGTTTAGGCGTCATGGTTGCGAGTGGGACTGGTCTGGCCACCAGTGTTCCCCTGAATGAGAGCAGAGCTCTGAACAGAAGAGGAAATTAGAATCCTCATGGGGAGCATCTTCAAGTGAGTTTAACAACAGTTCCTTGGAGCAATTACAAATTTTATTTGTTAATACATTTTATCATTATTTGGGAAATTATGACAGTAAAAAAAATTGCTTCCAAGGACATATGTTGTAAGTCATTTTGATGTGGAAGCTTGACTTTGTAGGGATTAAGGATTCATTCGCTGTACAAAGGCCAAAGCACTCTGAGGATTGGCGGACAGGAGGGCAGGGTAGGGCAGGAATTGTGCAAGGTGCTCACAGGTGAGTGGATGGAGGAACTCATGAAGTCTTAAGGGAATTTGAGCCCTAGAGGCAAAGAGGCTGCCAGCCCCTATTTGGCTGATAGGGTGATTACAAGCAATGTGCTTGGCAGTTATAGCTACCAGTGCTTCAAAGCAAGTGAAGTCTCTGACTGGTTCTTCCTTTTCTTCATTTATTGGAAGCTCTCTGACTAATGTCCCTAGTGTACCTCACCCCCTCCACACCCTCTGGCTCTCCTCAGGGCTCGCTGCCACACTCATTGGTCTTCCCAGTTTATGGTGGCCCTGAGCCCCACTCAAGTAATGCCCCTTCCTTTCCATTCCCACCTTCAGTTCCCATGAATCCGATAAATATTTTTGAGTAACTTTTGAGTAAGTCAAACTAAATGAGTCCTTAAAAGGATAAAGTGGAGACATCATTGTGAGCTATGTTAGATCTTTTTCATATCTTCTTGGAAATCTGATTAAACTAGGTCATCTCTTCTTTGCCCATGATTCATTATATTATCTTTCTTACCAAAAAAAATTTTATCACATCTCTTTAGAGGCACTACAACTATACTTTAAAGCACAGGAGAGTCAAAGATATATTTTTAAAAAGGCTCAAGAGAGAAAATATATTCTGGCTTCTTTTTCCTTTTGTGTAGTCTCTTTCAAGTTCTTGGTAGAATTGTCTCTTTAGCAAGGAATAGTGATGGCTTCTGAGGAGTACTCATTCACTCATTCACTCATTCATCCATCCATCCATTCATTCATAATTTAACACATATTTGCTGCACTATCATGTGCTAGGCATTGTTCTCAGCAGCAAATAAAAGAGACACTTCCCCTGCTCTCCCAAAGCCTACTTCTAGAAGGGAAAGCAGACATACTGCAGTACATGAAGACAATACCAGATTTTCTAGTGCCTCCATGCTGTGTCAGACTTCTGAATCTAGACTCCTTATTTCCTCCTCCTCTGAGGGAAGTTTCCATCGCTTAGAAGCTAACTTAGGTTTTCAAAGAAGAAACTTGCAGCACATCTCAGGTGTGTTCCCTTTGCACCTTCTTGGTGCTCCTTGTCTTCTAGCCTTCGCCGCATCATCCGTCACTTACTTGCTGGTAATACCCTCTGAACTCTAAACTTTGTAGTAACGTTGGTATTTATTTATGTATTTATGTATTTACTTATTAATCCTTACTCAGGGGTATATTTTTAAAATTGATTTTAGAGAGAGAGGGAGGGAGAAAAAGACAGAGAGAGAGAAACATTGGTATGAGAGAGAAACAACCATCGATTGACTCCCATATGTGCCCTGACCAAGGATCAAACCGGCAACCTTTCGTGGTGCAGGATGATGCTCCTACCAACTGAGCCACCCAGCCGGGACAATAGTGTTGGTGTTAAAGGGGAGATGATAGATAATCTGTGCTTGCACTATTCACGTTCAATATCTTCAACACCAATAGTTCTTGTTTTAAAGCAAATTGCTCCAAATTCCAGTGAAGAAAAAAATATTTGAATTCAAGATTTAATAAGCAGAGCAGCAGAGAATTAAATTGGGATTTCCACTGGGTTACTGACTTTGTAGACCAAATAAAGAAAAATGAATGGGGAAAGGGAGAAGAGCGTAGAATAGGCTAAGAACTGAGTTCTCTCAAATGTGTGAGCTTTTGTGCTACATTGAATTTCAGAAGCCAAGCCAGTCTTGTCAGCGTTCCGCGAGCTCCCTAATTGTGTGATATCGTACATGCATTAAAAGCCAACACTGACGATATGCCTCAAAGTAGGTGAAAAGATAAAAGTCAATGATAAAACCCCATCAATCTGGGAGCAGAAATTGTTTCAAAAGTAGAGAGCATAACGAACCCCCATGTACTCAGTGCCCAGTTTCAACAGTTACCAGCTCAACCTCCCTTCCTGCAACCCCTTGGATGATTGTGAAACAAACCCCAGTCACCCTGTCCTGTCATCTCTGATGCTTCAATGTGTAGTTCTAAAAAATAATAATAAAAATTATGACTAAAATCCCATATCACAATTTACAATAATTAACGATGGTTCATTAATTAGGTGAGTGATTGGCCTGCTGGAAGCCACAAGGAGAAAAGGAGAGAAGAGAGTCTGTTTACCGAGCATGCCCTGCACACCAGGCACCGGGCTCGGCCTGCAGTGATGAGCAAGGAGCCGGGACCGTCCTCACAGAGCCTACGTCTGCTTCTTCAGCCAGGTCTTGGTAGTGAAAGGCCGCATGTTCCTTATTTGCCTTTAGAAAAGTGTTTAAAAACTGATCCTCAGGACCACTTCACGGGACGGTTTATTCAAGGGCTCAGATGGAACTGGTTTCTGCTTCAGGCACTTTCCTGTATTGCATAACTTAATTCAAAGTTCGACTATGAATTGTAACCTGAACACCACCTTGCTCCCCCTCAGACCAACAGAAAATCATGCCTATAGTTATAATACCTGGGAAACTTTTTTTCTTTCTTGTCTGCTGAATCCTCAATAACTCTTCTGAGGAAAACTTATGACTTTTAAGCAGTTCTGCATTCTGGAAATAATTGTCACGCATTTCAAAATAGTTTATGGACTTGAATTCAAAAAAAGGAACTTCATGGTCAAAGGCAGGCAACGAACACAATGATTCATCTGATCAACTTTAGTTTTGATTGATATTTGGACTATGAACACTAATATATTTAAAATCTTCATTCATAGGACTTAAGGCTTCATTAGAATAACTTTTCCTGTCCTTCATTCATATTTTTCTAGACAAAAGATGCTGTTAAGATTGCTTTGATTGTCCTTGACCAAGGTCTTGCACTGATTCGAAAATCCTACTGAATGATCATCACGGTGCCCATGCACTAGTATATGCCTGGGCCTTGTTCCGACTCTAGAAAGATTTTCATGGCACAGCCGGAATCCAGCCCGTTGCCAACCCCTCTGCTCCACCACTTGGGTCCCCATCACCCTCACCTCTTGCCTGACTTGTGGCTGCAGCCTCCTTTTCATTCTCCCTGCCTCTGCCGCCGTCCTCTGTACCAGAAGTGTTCCTTTTAAACATCAGATCGGAGCCTTTGCTCAGAACCCTCCAATGTCTTCCCATCTCTCTCAGAAGGAAAAAGTCAAAATTTTTACTGTTGCCTGCAATGCGGCTATATTATCTAGCCCTGTTAATTCTAAATTCATCTCCCACAGCGCTCTTCCTAACCCCTGGTGCTCCAGCCTGGATGGTCATTTTGTTGTTTCTCAAACATGCCAAGCACATCCCCACACTAGGCCCTCTTACTAATTGTCCTCTCTGCTTGAATGCTTTTCTGAGATGTTGTATGTTATGTTCCCTGCGTCACTTAGGAGATATCTGGTGAATTGGTGAAAAGGAATATGATAGTAGCAGTGGGGATGAATTTACAAGATTTAACCTAAAAGAGCAGGGAGATGCTTCTCTGTTTTTTTATGGTCTGGGGCTGTTGTCCTGATGGGCTTCTCTGATCTGTGAGGTCACTAGGGTTCAGTCAGACACACACAGGCAACACTGGCCTTCGTAACATTGTGTGGCACCATGGCCAACTCTTCAGGTGGACCTGTTAATCTGTGTGACCTAGAAATAAGCTGCTTCCCAGAGAAATCATCTGGGTGCTTTGCTAGGTGGGGTGCAGGTACACAGACGACAGCATTTCTTTAGCGGTTTTCTAGTTCTAAATCTCCTAGGATTATTAGTCTGTTTAGATTTTCTGTCTCTTCCAGGTTCAGTTTCTACAAATTATACGGTCTTTAGAAGAGTATCCGTTTTATTCATGCTTTTACATTTATATGCACAGAGTTGAGCAAGTTATTCCTTTACAAGACATTCGATTTTCCCTGCTTCTGTGATTTCCTTTTTATAATTTTATATTTTGAGGAATAATATTGTCACCCTTTTCTTATGTTTTAGTTGTTAGCTAGTTATTTAATTTTTTTTCAAGTAACCAGATTTTGCAATCAGTTATATATTCTATTTAAAAAATGTTATGTCTTATTCATATCTTCCTTTACCCTTTAAAATTCCTTCTTTGTGTCTTTTATTTAATTTGTTGTTTATTTTTATAAGAGCTCCTTGAGTCAGATGTTTATTTCATTTGTTTTATTCTTTATCTTACATTAATACAAGTATTTACTCTGAAATATATCCCATAGGCTCCTTCTTTGGCTCTGAAGTGAGATATTTTCCTTACCTTTTTCTGTAACAATTTGCAATTTAGATTACTTTTTCTGATCACAAGGCTTTAAAGAAGAGAATTAAAAACAAAATTTCTAAGGGAAAAACTTTTTAATTTTAATTCTCATTGTTGCTTCTTCATGATGTCCAGAGGATAGAAAGATGCTGACTTATGCAGCCATGCACAATGTGGAAATCCCCTCCCTTACAACTTTGCTTTCTGGGAGTTGACGAGCAGAAAGACAAACTAGCAGGTGTTAATTTATTATTCATGAACAAACATGAACATGGCCAGACAACTGCTTAAGTGTCATATCCGTCCAACAAACTGTATATTGAGCTTCTAAGTAAGATTTTAAAATCCTCATGAAATTCAGAGTAAGGGAAATACCTTTTTAAAGTAATGACTCTTTTTGGTCTTATTTTACAGAGGCATTTGTGTAAGCACCATAATAAGTAACTTATTATGTATTTCCAGCTTCACCTAAGGCTATTTCTGGAGCTAGCTTCAGGGTTGTCAAAGTTAAAGCATGCCGTATATTCAAAGACATGTGGAAGGTTTAATGTCCCTTTTTAAATACAGAAAGCTAAAGACATCAGATCAAAGTGGAAAAAGCCTGGACTTTGGAGATAGGGGAAACTGGAATTCACATCCCTCAAAATACACTTCTCAGAGCTTCCTCCACTTACAATGGGGTCCCCATCCTGGCACTCAAATGCCAGCAAGGTGCTATTTCTTATCCCCCTGTCCCTTCCCCAATGCCCAGATGAACCCAGAACACTAAGTTCATTTGATTTCTGGAGCCTCTAGACTCTTCACCTGAACTCTTCTAAACATCCCATAGTCAAAAAGTACAAACTTCCAGTTGTAAAATAAATTAAATCATGGGGATGTGATATACAGCATGTTGACTAGAGTTAATAATGCTGTATTGTATATCTGAACATTGCTAAGAGAGTAGATCTTACAGGTTCTCATCACAAGATAAAAAAGTTGCTACTATGTATGATGCTGGATGTTGTGTAGACTTACTGTGATGATCATTTTGCAATATATACAGATATCAAATCATTCTGTTGTACACCAGAAACTAAAGTTATATGCCAATTATATTTCAGTGTTTTAAAATCCCATAGTCTCCAAAGCAGGGGCTCTACCTTAATGCTGCAGAGGGCCAGTACTGGGTCGGAAACATAAACTGTGGAAGCTGTGACACCTCCCTTTAGGTTGTTCCTTAACTGGATCAGTGCAAAACAAAGCCATTTATCTTTTGCCAGTGAGTGGCGATGGTTCTTGGGGTGAGCCTTGAATCTGCTTGATGGCACTGCTGAACTGAGGATGAAAGGGCGGTTTGAAAGGGGAGAGACTGAAAGGAATTAAAATAATATCCTTATGTACATTAAAATATGAAAAAATTGAAGCTGAGGAACCTACATTCATCATTCCTTAGGTTTGGAAGTTCCTTCCCAACTCACTCTCCCTGCAGCCACCATGTAATTTATGCTTAAATGCCACTTCCTCAAGAGGCAACCTGATCCCCAACCTCAGTTAGGTCCCCTTGTCACACTCCAGCTACAGTCCCTACTTTTCCTTCTATTAAGAATTTGATGATTTGTTTTCTTCCCACACTTAACAGCAACTAATTTTTATTAAGTGTTTCCACTGGCCAAGTACCATGCCAAGGGCCCTATGAGATTATCTCATAATCACATTATGAGGGAGGTACTGTTATTATCCCTGCTTCCTGGTAAACTGAAGAAAAGAGAAGTTACTGGCTCCAAATCACTTGGTGGCGAGCAGCGTTGGGGTTCTGACTCAGGGGCCTGACTTCAGAGCCCCGGCTCTTCATTAACCACTGCCCTACACAGTCAGGATGGGGACAACCACCAGCGTGTGCTTTGCTCTTAGTAGGTGCTGAATAAATGCTGACTGAAAGAGATTTCTTAGACCACATAATCACTTCAAACTGGTCCATCTTTGAGATTTTGAATTTAAAGCACCCCTTCTCCAGCTATATTTCTTAAGCCAGGGTATGTTAGTATCAGTGATGTCTTGTTGCTCAGGCTCACACGCTTCACCCTACGCATGTGTGCAACATGACATTCTTGACCTCTTACCAACAGGAGAGCGGGGCTGAGTCATCCTGCTCAGTGGTGCTCTAGTTCCTCTCTCCTTCCAGCTTCTAGCCTGGCAAACCCCAATCACACTCCTCATTTTGGAAATGTGGCTTTGCACTGATCAGCTATGTGACAAGCTATGATGGAAGTTAGTCTTCCCCTCCAAGCCTGTTTCTTCACGTATAAAAAACAGGAAATACAGAATTGTAGCAATGAGGTAGCACAAGGGAAGCACTCAGCATAATGTCTGGCACATAGTAAAGACTCAATGAATGTTAGTGTTGCTTACTCCTCAGCTCCCGGGTTACAGAGCATTCTGGAGAATCTCAAAGTATCTCCCACACCTAAGCATTAATCTTTAATTGGGAATGCACTGCAGCCCAGCAATCCTTCTTCCATCCTGCTGGCGCGATATCTATCTCTGGCTTTATCTTCCTCTATCCAATTATCCTCCTCCCTCCCCTTTAGTTTTCAATTATCTCTAAAATATTTCTGATTTCATAGTCTCTTACCACAGCTTAGGCACCTGGAATACATCCTCTATGATCTCTCTTATCACCAAAGATGCAAATAACCTCCAGCAGGCAGCTGAGATTTACTGGCAGAAAAGGGATGAGGCAGGATCCCCATTCCACTACTCACTGGGCAAGTCACGCCACTTGCTGACTCACGGTTCCCTCATCTTAAATGGGAATAGCAATTTTTCTTCACAGGGTGTTGTAAAGACAAAACGAGATGGGGCGTTTTTTAAAATAGTTCAATAATTCAGTTCAAGAATGAATTGTTCTCTTCATTCACTCATTCATTCATTCACTCATTCATTCATTCCTGGTTGGCAGCTCTCATAGAAAGTGGCCAAGAGTCCAAGGTCCAGAATGTCCAAGGCACAGAAGGGGAAAATGTAGAGCAAGTATGGTACCTCATAGATGAAGCTAACTAATCACCCTACCAACAAAGTTGGAGTTTATTCTCTAAGTCATCCATTAAAAACCAGTGCTATATCTTAAATGTAACACACGCAGTCATCCTAGGTAATTTAATTTGGCATGAAATGATGGAGTAACTCCAGTTTTTATTCAGGAAAAAGATTTAATTATCTCCTGATTAGTTAACGTAAGTGGAGCCAAAAGGTAGAGAAGTTGAATCCAACTCGCGTGAGACTAAGTGATTTACTCAGTCACGAGCTTTTGACCAATTTAGTAGGTATCCTGCTCAAGGGAAATGAAGAGCCTCAGCGTTAAGATATACCCCAGTATAAAGCTATAATGATTAAAACAGTGTGATACAGATACAGGAGAGAATAAACACAGTCCCAGAAGTACTGAGAATGTGGCATACGATGTGACATTTGAAATGAGCACAGAAAAGTGGGATGATTTAATACTACTGGGGCAACAAATTTTTCAGGTGAAAATATATTAGGAATTGAATTGTGTTTCCCCAAGAAGATATTCTTAAGTCCTAATTCCTGGTACCTATAAATGTGATTTCCACATGTGATTATTTGGAAATAGTGTCTTTGCAGCTGTAATCAAATTAAAATGAGGTCACACTGGATTAGTGTGGCTCTAATCCAATGACTAGTGTCTTTGCAAGAGAGATTTGGAAACAGGCACAAAGGAAAAAATGCCGTGTGACAAGAGAGATTGGAAAGATGCGGCCACGATTCAAGGACAAAAACACCACCTCATTTTAATTTTCACTTTTGAGGAGAAATAGTTTTCCATAATATATTTACTCATGTGAGTTAATTAAAAAATTTTAGCCAATTAATTAAGAATATTAAAATTCCTACCCTCTTAGTATTTCCAAGAACTCCTTGGGCAACGTAGATAGACGCTGACTAGTTCTGGTTTGCCTCTCATCGGGAACCCCCTCATCACAGCAGAGGCTTCCGAGGGCTCCCTCCCCCTCACCCCACAGCTCCGATCACACCTCCAGGGAGAGATCCCGCAATTCGCATGCTCTAGAAACACATGTTTCCCTCCCCACCCCCACCCCCCAACACCTTGGAACAGTGTTCTGCAAACTAGATGATAAAAACTGAGAAAGACTTTATAAAAGGGCCATTTTTAGACTATTTTTAGAACTATTTTAAAGATTAGCTATGAATAATTAGAAAACAATTCCATGGCATTAATGCATAGAAACAAGCAAATGGGTTAAAAATGTTCTAGTTAACTAACTGCCTAAGTGCTTGCATAAATAAATAGAAAAATAAATTGTAAAAATATTGAAAAGTCTTTATATGCAATGTTCCATAAAAATTATATACAAGTTTCTACAATATTTACATATTCTTTATTATTTCTATTGGTTTGAATTCGATGTTTAAATGCAGTTTTTAAGAGCTTCCAAGATTTCCTCTGAAAGCACGCATTTAAAAATACTACATACTGGTACAAAAACTTTAAAAAAATACAATCAAACAAACAAACAAACAAGGACCCCACAAAAGCAGAGAAATGGAAAAAATCCATTATATCTCTTGAAGTGGTTAGTAAAGACCCAGGGTAATCCCCGTCACAGGCGCAGGGCTATCAGAGTGTATCCACTGTTACTACCGACCTTTCTATTGTATATGGCAAGGTTCACATGCAACAATGGTTTGTTTTTTGAAAGTCACTGCAGCTTTCAGACCAACTGCAACAGTGCCAAACAGGCTCTGTGCACTTTCATCCAAGGTACTCCATTTGGTTAATATCCACAGAGACAATTTCTGAAATCATGATCTTTTCATGAAATCAAAGCAGAAAAACCGTTCAGTACACGCAGATCCTTCCAAGCTGGTGCATCTAGGTTGATCTCATGAAAACTCTTTGGAACCTCCTGTGACTCTGTAACCGATCAAGGACTCTTTAACACCTTCATCCACAGGCAGTTCCACCACCACATGAGGTTTATCATAACCAAAGGAGGAAGTAGTGTGCCTCAGCATTACGGGCTCTGGCTGTCCTGTATTTATTTCGGTTTTGTTATTTGGAGGAAATTCTAAGTCAGATAAGAAGCTGTCTGATGCCACAACGCCACTATCAGAACCATTTCTGGAGTGGTAAGAGTTTAAAGCAATGCTGCAGGGTTCAGACTGGTTACTACTTGAGTGGGCAGAATCCGCTTTCCGTGCTGAGGTCTCAGGGCTATCAGGGGCCACGTCAGAAGTATTTTCTTCAGTGATCACCACTTCTGTCTCACTGGAAAGATCTTCTTTGTTTTCTCCTTTTCCTGGCTCATCCTCAGTCAGCGTACTGGAAATTGATGCTGGAGACCACTGTTCTTCACAGAACACCTTTTCGTTTTCAGGGATGATAGGTTTGTAGGTGACGGGTGATATATATTTTGACTCAGATTTTGCCTCTGAAGAGGCATTTTTTACCACAGACACCTAAGGAAGAGGAGTCAATGATTAAGAATAACAGTTATTAAACTTATGTACATATCTTCAAAAAAATGGTCTAAGGGTAATGGGCAACTAATTATACCACTAAATGGCACATTCAGAATAAAAGTATAATAAAATCTGGTGGTTGCCTTTTCTTTCTTTTTAATGGAAATATACTAGGTTAAGATTAGAAATGAGTTTTTAAAAGTTACTATCTCAACAATATATGTTGATTTTTGTGCATTACCTTTCCCTTGTATGCACGTTACATTTGTAAAGGGAGTCTAACTACTTTATATAATATTTTTACCATTTACCTTCCTAGTTATAACTTATATTGGCTCATATAATTTCTTTACACTGATGATTAAATAATTTCTTTAATAGTAGATGTTAAAGTGTTAACAATTTTTACTCTTTACAGAATACATTGGAACATTCTTACATATCTTTTTATTTGTAAAATTATCTTTTAGAAAAAATTCTTAAGAGTAGAATTACTAAGTCCAAAGGTGTGGCATGTTTATGGAACTACAACACTGTATATCCTCTGTACACTTATCTTCCCACCAGGGATACATGACTTTTTAACATCATATACCAGTTTTACAACTACTGCTACTCTTAGATATTCAGGTTTATTTTTACTTCTCTAGTGGATGTAAAATGGCATAATGCGACACTGCTATGTGCTTAATTACTAGGAAGGATGAGTATTATCATATGTGAATTGTCTACTTGTTGATAGTTCTTATCTACTTTATTTAACTGTAATGTGTTCACAAAAAATTTAAATATGCCCTTTGAATAGCACAGATATTATTCCTGTCATATTTGATTCAGAAAGCTATAATCGTTACCCTTTAAATGTTCTTTTCCTCATACAGAGGATTTTAAATGTTAGACATTAAAATGTCAAACTTCTAGTTTAATCTCATTTTTGGCCATCTTGCCTTCTACACGGCAACCACAGCGAAGTGTTCCTATATTTGCAGATTTTCAAAAGGCATCCTTTCTTGATACTGGACCTCAGCACATACTGCCCCTTAGTGCCTGGGTAAACTCCTATCTGTCCCTGAACACTGCCACAGCACTGCCTCTGGACAAAGTCCTCACTGGCACGTATATAAACCACTTTTTTGAACCTATCACACTGACACCCACTGAACACTTATTCTTTTTCCTCCCACCAGACGTTAAGTTCCTTAACAGGCTTATCTAACTGTACTTCTGCCACATGCATAAAAAGGTACCTGGTGGATAGTGAAAAGTATGTGGTTTTGGATGTGTGGTAGTTTTGGGAAACTTTCAGTAGGTGACATGCTGCTAAACATCATTTTACTTTTAAAAATTTTTAAGAAACTATCAGAAATGTTCAAATCAATACTTTAGTGTACACAATTAAAGAAAAATATTTAAATACATTACCAAGGACTTGGGTAACATGATGTTTTTTCTCTTAAATGGATTTATTTTCTTCAGGTTACAACATACTACTACCAGGACAAGTATCAAAAAGAGTAGGACAGCAGCAACAATTGGAATCCAAACAGAATCTGAAAAAAAAAGAGGGAAAACCCCCCCACAAATTAGAATTAAGGTGGCCTACTGCTGTAATCAAATAATTATAAAGTCTTTGAACTATTATTTGCACAGCTAACATCAGGTGATATGGTCAGACTGTTAAGGAACATTGGCACCGAAGTCAGAAGGGATGAGTGAAAAATCACGTCTCTGTCCTTAGATAGCAACATATACTTCCCAGCTCCACAATTCTAAACTTTCTGTGACTATGCTGTCATGACACAATGTGGCTAAAATAGCTTTTTCCTAACAATTTCCTTACAACCCCAAATGTAGGTTTCCAGGGTTTTTATCTCAAAATGGCAAAAGAAGATTTTTAAAAATTTATTTCAATGTCTATAACTCTTAAAATAGTCCAGTCCCACGACACGGAATTTTGTTATATTTCATATTTCTTTCGAGACTGCAAATATTTAACAAAGATACACAGATGTACACACACACGCGCGCGCGCGAAAGTTGCACAGGAATATAGTCCCCTTGACTTTTCCTTCGTAAGACTTGTTTCAGAGCACATACATCTATAATCACTGTTGTGTATTATTCTCTACTGCTGCCTTTATTTTCAGCACTTTTTTTTCACAGTCCTCTGCTCCAGATTAACAGTCTTCTACATGTCCTGGTGGGGGTTGGCCTCTTTCACAGCATTTCATTACCTTGAATTTCTATTCCAAAGTTACTTCTTTGGAATAGTAATTCTGGAAGCCTCTACTAAATGAATGCTTGTATCCCACCTGTTACGGGATATGAAAACAAATTATTACAATAGTAAAAAGATAAAAAAATAATTACAGAGCTAAATTAGCAATGGGCTTAGAAGCACTGAAGAGGCAGGCAGGGCTGCTGTTGAGCCGCAGTGGCGCCACCATGTGGCTACCGTATCAGCCCAGTTTATCACCTAGGTTTTTTTTTTTTAGTAAGTCTGGGTTTGCATTATTTTCAAATTTTGTGTATTAAGATTTAATATTTTTAAAAAGCATCAGGCAAATTGGCATAAAATGTTCTGCATTATTTTATCCATTTAAAACCCTCATATAATGGCCTAAAAATTATCAGTATTACAATTTAGGTGTTCTGATTCTTCAGCCTCGATTTTCATTCTAAAAAGATATTTGCACATAAAATTTTTTGTACATTTTAAACCTAGAAAATATATTCTAAAAATATCTCAATAACTGAAAAAGGATAAATATACACAAAGTCACCAAAGCATAATTTATATCATGATTTATATCATAATATATCATGATTATTTATAGATTTTCTCTATAAATAATCCAAAGGTCTAAAAATTGGGGAACATTAAATAGAATACAATCTAATGATGAAATATTCTACACACATTAGAAAATAATATTAATAAAGTATGTGAAATAATGTGGAAAATGTTTATATTATATGCTTAAATTAGTATACCAAATTATATATACTGTACAGTATTATCATGGTTATATAGAAAAAGAGGAAAACAGAATGGAAAAACCCCACCAAACTGAGAAGTATTTGTTTCGATGGCAGAACCACAGATAATTTTGTTTTCTTCTGGCTTTTTATATTTAATAAACTATTTATAATGAACATTTAAACTTCAAAATGTCCAAAAAGGCCCAAATTTTTGTTATTGTCCCTGCCACCTGAGAATGACAGTTCCAACATGCTATTACATATAACCACCACACACAAGGAAAAGATGAAATAATTATTTGAAAATGTTATAAAGATGACACATAATCCATCCTTTAAACCAATTTAAATATTTTTTACGATTTTCTTTATATTTGTTTAGAGAGAGGAAGCAGGGAGAAAGGGAGAGAAACATCGACGTGCGAGAGAAACACTGATCAGTGGCCTCTCACATGCCCCCAAGCACGTGCCCTGACAGGGAATCAAACTGGCGACCTTTTGGTTTTCAGGACAACCCCCAATCCACCGGGCCACACCACGCAGGGCTATATTTATTTTTTAACATTAATTTCCAGTGCTTGTGCAGTTCACATGTCACAAAGTTTTAAACCATTAACATTCCTGCTATTCAGTTTTTAAACTTTCTGTCTTCCTATAGAACATACATGAATATACAGTATATTCTGAATATATATCATCTTGCTGTGCTGAAGTTGACTTATATGCATAATCCTGAAATGCAGACACTTATGCACATAGTTTTCTGTGTTTATTACATTTTTTTTCTTTTCTCCATGAAAAGGTTATTACATGGCTTTCTAAATTGGTTGTTTTATATCTTTTAATGCCTGACAAATAGCCTTATTTGTAATTTGGGACTTCTTTGAGGAATGGAACTATTTTTAAAAGAGCAGAGATTACATCCTGGCTGGGTGGCTCAATTGGTTGGAGCATCTTTCTGTGCACTAAAACATTGTGGATTCAATTCCCCGTCAGGGCGTGTATCTAGGTTGCAGGCTTGAACCCTGGTCGAGGCATGTACAGGAAGCAACCAATCGATGTTTCTCTCTCACACTGATGCTACTCTCTCTCTCATTCTCCCTTCCTCTCTCTCTAAAAGCAATAAAAAAGGCAGAGATTACTAAAATCAAGAATTTCCTTTTTTCACACTATCCTCAGTTAGTTATCACTCCCTATATTTAGGAAAATATGGCAAGAACTTACCTTCTACACTCTTATGATCAAAAATAGGGCCACAAAGTTCTTTAGACCTTTCAGTTTTAACGGTCCATGTCTTTTCCTCTGCAATGCCGTCTACTGAAATACAGTACTCGGAACTCAGCGAAGACCCTGGAATAGTTAAGTGGCACCAAGTCCCATTGCAATCATCTTCCTTCAGGGTGATCTGTAGGGAAAAAGGAAACAATGCAAATGGATGGCTCCTTTTATCTGGGAAAAAAATCACCAAATTTATGTTGCCCAAACACAGGGAAAAAACGTGTGTGCAATGAATGTTGAACCAGTCTGAAAACTGTTGATATCAAATAATAAGTCAATTTGTTACTCCGACATAGCACATTGCTATGCATCCATCAAAATGTTCTTTATAAGGATTATAAATTTTAAACCACAAATTGCAGGAATGTTTACCATTAGTTAAGTCAACAAATATTCATTAACCCTATTTCTAAAATGCAAAAAACTTAGCTGAGGGATAAAGCATCTTATAGGAAGAATAACAAAGGTATTACGCAAAGGCTGTAGAATCTCTTGACAGTAATAGGAAGAAGGGGTTGAAGCAATCTCTCGGAGTTTATCTTCCCTTCAACCAGCCCAAGTGCATGGATCACCTGTGCTACGGCCTGAAAACTCAAAGGCACGGCAAGTGGTGCCTGACCTCAAATAACTCACTATAGGGTGTAGAAGAGATAAGAAAGAAATGTAAGAGTATTGAGTACTGCAAGACAACTATATGGAACTAGTAATAACCAGACCATAAAAAAGGAAGTAAGTGTATTGTATCAGAAAAGAATTCAAAGGAGAGGTGATACTCCAGTTGAATATTGAATTAGTAAAAATTTGCCAGAGGTTAAGAAGGCTATTCTATGAAAGCACATTACTTAACAGGGAGTTAAGTGCTTCACCAAAGCATGAATGAAAATAAAGTTGGAAGAAATGGGGAGACGGTTTGCTGGAAGGGACACAAGAGGCCAAATCATGAAGTCCTTGTAGGCCATGCCGGGAGGGAGAATTTAGGTATTATTTTGTAGCTAAGGGGTATTTGTTGAAGGGTTTCAAGCAGTGATAAAATATGGTTAGATCTGCACTCTAGAAACAGCTCTGCTAGCAATCTAAGTGATGTTTTAAAAACCAAATCAGATGTCACTCTTCTTACATTTTTCCAGGGTTGCAATGCAACACCTTACTTAGAATAAAAGTCAAATCCCTCCAATGCCCCGAGAGACATGGCCCCCAGTGACCTCTCCGGAGGCATCTGCTCCCGCACCCCGTGCAGCCTTGCTGCTCCCTTCACATGCCCTGCATCCTTTGGCCATGCCCTTTGCCCGAAACCCTCTCCTCGCCGTCATCCATGGAGCTCACTCCTCACCTGCTCCAGCCCTTGCGCCCGGGACACCTTGTCCAGCAGGTGAGGTCCGCTCTGACCACCCTACAGAACACAGGACATTACCATGTCCCTACCCAGCTGCCCAACTTGCTTCCCTGCTTTTTCCTCCATAGCACTTATCACTGGAGTTCTGCTTGTGCTCTTCACTGCTCTCTCCTGGTGCCTACAAGGCACAGCACCTGCTTGGCAGATAACGCTAAATAAAGGAATGGCAGCACTGTGGCAAATGGATGGAACAGATTAATTCTAATACAAGTGTGGTCTGCATAACCAGTGCCAGAATGTAATTATATCCCCAGAGCACTAATGTTAGCTTTTCTCTCCAAAACACTGACTTCAATTAGAGCTACATGTGATATTACATTACTACCAATGAGGAAGAAAGGATGAAAATTATCCTCATCTTACCAGTAAGAAATGAAAATATACAGGTTAATATCCTAGATTAGGGCTATGCTGTTACACGAGGAAAAGAAGAAACTTAAATGTGTTCACCTGGGTAGCGTTAGTGATTAACTACACCACTGATTCCATTCAGTAGCATTTATATACGTTATTTCATTTTTCTTAGCAAAAGCTAGGATCTGTAAATCTTGCCTAAATATTCCTAAGCATTCTACTTTCTTATGCTACATAAACAACTTATGTCAATGACAGAAAAATTCCCATTTTGAAAAAGATGAAATAAAAACACATACCAGAGTTCCATTCATTCTCACATACACATTGTATGTGAGTGTGTGACAATTTACATCATCGTATGTAGCTTCCAGCTCTTGTTCAATTATAGTACCTAAAGGATGAAATATATCAACGATGACTTGGTCTCCCTTTTGTCTGATATTCAGTTTAGGTGGTCCAATTTTCCCTGTGCGGTGGGGGGGGGGGGAGCAAAAAAGAAGGAGAATTAATTGGCCTTGGAACTTCATAGTATGTTATAGAAAAGTACCAAAATCAATCAACCTACTCCTTTGTTGTTGTTCTAAAGCAGCACCATTCATTTAAACCATTCAAAAAAGATCTGGAAGATACTCTAAGTGTCCTTAATAAAGAAATGTTTACTATATCTTCTCAATCAAGAAGTATTCTTATCTAATCTAAACTCCTCTTTAACAGTGTAAATTCATTTTGAATCCTACAGAAAAATGGTCACGAATCTCAGTTAAAAAAAAAAAACAAAACCTTTACACACTAGAAGCTCTATTAAGTTATTTTTCCTTTACTTTTGGTTTTGCAGATTTAAAAAAATGGTTTTCTAAAAAGTGTTTCAGAAAAGGCATTTTCATTATCTTTAAACCCACAAAGATATCTTTGTATCTTCAGCACCTATGGATGTCTGGCATGCAGGCTCTATAAAAGTTTGCTAAATGCATTCAATTTGTATTGTGAAAATCAGAACTAGAGATTCACTCATTCAACAAATATTTATCATGTGTCTTTGGGACTTCGTTGGCAAACAATTTAACTATTCTTTGCATATTTATTGTACACCCACTGCGTACCAGGAAGGCCTGCTTTTACTCACTAACATATCCTGGGGGCCTAGCATATATTCTGGCATAGAGTATACCTTTAGTAAAATCTACGCGTGGAAAACGTGACATACAAAGGGTAGAGTTATCAGATGACAAAAGCATGGCTGTGGGAAATAAAACCATTTCAAGAGCAAGTACAGAAAGGGCCGTGGAAGAGACAAGTAGGCACGGTCCAAAAAGCAGCAAAAGGAAGTAGTGGCTGAAGTGATGAAGCAAGATGCTGAAGGAGGAAGTGAAGCTGGAAGGCACGGCACCGACAGCCTGGAAGCCCAGGGTGGAGGCAGGTGACTAAGGGCTTCTTTTACCCAGGACTGAGGGTATAAGAGCTACAAGGTAGGATGTTGGTCAGAAAAGAAGACTTGGCACTGAATATTCTGGAGCTTGAAGTGATGATAAAGATTGGGTATACTATGGCAATGAGATGCTGGAGGCATGAACAGCTTAAAGTGACTGGGGTTGAAGAGATTACAGAACTCTTGATATTTTTTCAATGGATGAAGTTAGTATTAAAATCCCCACAGACCTTGAGGATTTAAGGTAGAGAGGAAGGATAAAAGCAGCTGCCATAGTCCTCAGTGAATGCAATTTAGAAAGGAGTAACAGAGAGACAGGGAGGGGAAGGGAGGTGCAGAATCTAGTCTGACAGCACTGATGCACACATTTATATGAAATGGAAATGGAACAGTTTGGCAGGGGCAAAGTGATGGGCACCTCAGCCCTCTCTTATGGGGCTTGAGAGAAGAGGAGGATGCGAACTCCCTGAATTGCTCCAAATGTTTCTTGGGCGTTGTAATAATTTTTGGCAACTGCTAATAAAAGCCAAGTATATACAGAAGACATGTGCAAGTACTCTCAAATTTAAATTTTAGATGTGTGTATGTTCTACTCACATTGTTTGCACAAAATAAATTCTTCTGACTCTGCAAAGGCTGATTCTTCTTCTCCAACCTTAGCATTAACTCTGGCCCAGAGAGAACTCATTGGATTATCAATCATGAAAAAGATGTTACATTGATGATGAGAGGTATTGCAAGCATTACTCCATTTTTTACCCCTAAAATGAAGACAAATAAAGAAACACAAACATAAATACATCTCTGTCTATGCTTTGCTTTTTATTCACAGCACGGAGCTGGTAGAAGGAGCTAAATAAGAACAGGATGGAGAAGCTAGACAGGGTAGGAAGGAAACCCTCACTCTTTGGTTAGAAGTACTACTAATTTTTTTTACAATAAAGAAGCTCAATTCAAATGACAAGATCTGTACAAACCACATTCCACATGTAATTTTTAAAAGTCTGCTATTTAGCCCTGGCCAGTGTGACCCGGTTAGAGCATTGTCTCACAAACTGGAAGGTCATAGGTTCAATCCCGGGTCAGGGCACTACTGAGGTGTGGGTTTGATCCCCAGTCAGGGTGCATACAAGAGGGAAGCCAATCAATGTTTCTCTCTCACATCTCTTCCCCCGCCCCCTCTCTCTAACAGCAATGAAAAAAATGTCCTTGGGTGAGGATTAAAAAAAAATCTGCTCTTTACACTGTAGTTTCCATTAGCATAAATTATCACTTAATTACAGAATCCAACACATCACGAAGACTCCTAACACTTGTCAAAATTTTTTTTGAAATTTTTATTTTTACTCAACAATAAGTATATACTATATAGGAAGTAAAGTGATATTACTTTTAATACAGAACTGTAAGCTTTATTTATTGTGCCTTAAAATCTGGGAAGTTAGTGATACTTGTCTATGTCAATTCTGACAGCAAGAACTAAGGGGCAGGAAGTACTCTGAGAAGAACTAATTTGCATCCTTAGTTATTAGCACTTCTGAAAACCTACAAGCAGTTCACGAAGTTTTGCCACATGAGGGGGAAGGATATTGGAAGTGAGCACAGAGAGTTATGGAATGTGCAAGGACCGAGACAAAAACACAATAAAAAGGATAAAAAGAATAATACTTACTCATAGGTTTTCACCTCTACAGTAAAAAAAGGAGTCTGCTGCATGGTTGGGTAATCCCAGTGTACAAAAGCATTCAAGTTATTGGCTTCAATTGTCACATTGGTCGGTATAGGCACTGTAAGAGATTCAAAAAGTTAAACGATAGTAAGAAATTAACATTAATATTAGCAAACCTTGTAATAAGAAGCCATGTTAACCAAATATAAAAATATTTAAAAGTGGAGTTCTCACAATAAAATTATTTAAATTGAGAGATTTCTAAGACTTACTTTTTTGAAAAAGGTATAGAATAATTCTGAATAATTTTGAATTACTGAAGCAATACTGTCGTATAAGAGAAACACAGATGTAATGAGGTAATAAATTTCTATGTTTTATGAGGTTTTTTTTTTTTGAGGTCCACAGAGAAGCTTTTTTTCTTTTTTATTATATTTTATTGACTATACTATTACAGCTGTCCCAATTTTTCCCCTTTACCTCCTCCACCCAGCACCCCCAACTCCCTCAGGCAATCCCCGCACCACTTTTCATGTATAAATGCGCTGCCTGTTGTAATAGTAATCCTCTTAATCACTATAATTTTCTATATATGATACCACAGATTGCATTCAATGTCTAGAGAAGTGGTTGCACCAGGGATGGCCAATTTCACTCTAAAATACCACCACCCACGCTCGCAACCCTACACTCAGCTCTGTTACACACCTTCAGTACCTTTTCTACAGCTCAAGAATGCATGCCTAAAGATTGACTGAAGGAGCCATTGACCATTCCAATTTCATCAACATTTTGTTCCCTAGGGTATGCAGGGGTTTTTAAAAAACAAATCCAATATTTCTTCTCACCTATGCTCTTTTAAACAATTTCAGAAAACTTTGGGTTGGTAAGATGTGAGCCACATTAAGTCACTACAACATCTTTTCATCAGACATTACCAAAACTGTAATCTAGTTATTAAAAGTAGCCATTTCCCCCCGGTCAGTGTAAAAGGTTACTGTCCTCCATCCCTAGGAAAACTGAACACATACACACATCTCCTTCCTTCCTCCTTTCCCTCTGCCTCCCCTCCCTTCCTTCCCTTCAGTATGAATAAACATGAAGGTATTAGATACAGTTAGCAATATGATACCAAATGGAAAACTCTATGAAACATTATTTACTTATACAATTAAAGTAAATAAGTGAGTGGCAATGTGGCCGAGGCTCAGTGCCTTCCTAACATAACTATCATCTTCCTCAGAAATGCGGAGAGCTACAAGTACACTTTTTAAAGCACCTCCCATGATAATGATGATCACTCAGGTTTATGTCAAGTGGATTGGTTCTAATAAAAAGACATTTCCTGGTTATGCTTTAAGAAATCTGGGTTCTTTCCTGTTATACTGTTGGTCATTTCAGATTTCCTCATCTGTCAAGTGAGGTGTTTATTTCACACATATACAAGGGGGGACGCAAAGAAACTGTAAGTATCTTCTGGAGGGTGGGCCTTTTCCCACTAGCTGAGTGTTCTAGGAACCCACCCGTACCAGTGTACCAGCTGGCATTGTTGTGAGAGACTGTGCTCAGCTTCAGTGAATCTTTTTTGAAGACTTTCTCAACATGTTTGTCCATTTCATGATGGGTGATTTGCAAGTGCACCTGCCTACATACACCGTGCTGAGTGTTCAGCAGTTTTTGACCAAGAACAGCATGACCCTGGTGCCCTACCCTCCCTATTCACCTGATCTCACCTGAGCAACTTTTTTTGTTTCCCTGGATGAAAAAGTTTTCACAGGGAAACATTTTGCTGATGTTCTAGAGGTGAAACAGAAAACTGCAGAAGCACTAAAAGGCATCAAAATCGACGAGTTCACAAACTCTTTTGAGCAGTGGAAAAAAATCTCAGTAGACATATTCCATCAAATCGAGAGTGCTTTGAAGGTGACTGAAGTTTGAGCACATAAGAATAAATACACAATTTTTTATAAACAAACTCCGGGGTTTTTGGGATTCCCCCTGGTACTCTGTAGACAGCATTCCACAATCTGCTCACCAACCTTTCTATGGGAAGGACAAACTGAGCAGTGAAAAGAAGTGAGGATAAGGGGCCAGTGAGTCAATTGTTTTTGTGGATTTGAAGTCACCTGACACCACAACTCAAAAACAAATGCTCCAAGTTAAAGCATCCAGATCCTTTCCTGACTGTGTAACTCTCAGATAAAAAAAATCTAATCCCCCCAATGAAGATGCAGGGCCATGGGTATTTTCAAGATTTCTTCTTACACTGCAAACTGAGAAATGGCACAAGAAATCCAGATGAAAAAAAGTGAAAATTACCAAATCAAGACTTTTGAATTTTTTTCAAAATATATATTTTTTTACAACCGACCTCCAGAATGGTTTTTAATGTTGATAAAATGGCTATTTTTCTTAACACTTTCCAACTTTTTCTCTTTTTATTTTTTCTTTCCGTTTTATTGGGATATAATGGACATATAGCATTGTTTAAGATGTACAGCATGACTTGACTTAAATACGCTGCAAAATAACCACAATAACTTTAGTTAACATCCATCATCTCATATAGCTACAAGAAGGAAGAGAAACAAAAATATTTTTTTCCCTTGTGATGAGAAATTCTGGGATCTACTCTTTTAACAAATTTTTAATATACCATATAGTCGTGTTAGCTACAGTCATCATGTTGTACATTACATCCCATATTATTTTCTTGTCCCTGGAGAAGTTTCAGAACTAAAGCTTTGAGTGAGGACACCTAAAATACTTCAAGTCTATTTCACCTTCTACGTAACAGTTGTTCAGCTGGGTCCACACTCATACTATCCCTGCAGTCTTCTCTGATTCCTCTCTGTTTTGGGGACCTATTCTGGTTTTATCATTCATTCCATCTCTTAAAATATGGAGCACAGAAGTGATGCAATAGACGTGAATGAAATACTTTCCCCTCCCTCTGCCTTTTTTTAAAAAAGAGATGGGCATATGGAGTAGAGGCTCACGCTGAATTTGTGATTAACTAAAATCCCCCAGATCTTTCACTCGAACCTCCACCAAAGGAGGGCTTACCCAATAAACATCTGCTCATCCACCTTTCTGACCTGAAACATAGGATTTTACTCTTGCCTCTTCATCCAATTTCATCTGTTGGGGTTTGCTTGCCACCCCAATGAATTCTAATTGGAAGAGACCCACCTATTCTCTGACAGAAGTCATTGTTCAAGACTAAGTGGATGAAGTCATCCTACGTTGAGAAATAATTCAGGGACTGAAAAAAAATAAAATAAAAGAGGCCTTTTGAAGCCACAGAAGGAAAAGGTAGAAGAACAAGTTGGCTGCGGAGCCTATTTTACCTTTCTCCTCTTGATCTGGATGAGGGTTCTTTTTAACACAATTTCTCATATATAACTAAATAATTTAACATTTTAAAATGTATTTGTGTTAAAATGATGCACATTATTGAAAGTTCCTACAGGACAAGGAGAGGGCGCAGCTTCTTTGTGCACCACCTCGGTTAAGCACACCGCCCTCCCACGAGGAAGGTGGCATCACTGCACACGTTTTCACCGATGGCAAAACAAGGGCTTAGGGACGTGATCTAAAGTCTTGACAATATGTGAAGGTTCACTGATTTTTTTTAATTAAGAAAAGAAAGAGATCAAAACTATGATCAATAAAATGGCAATAAAGACCTATCTATCAACAATTGAATTTAAAAGACAAACTACGCAAACAAGAACAGAGACAGAAGCACAGATACAGAAGGTGTTTTGATGGTTGCCAGATGGGAGGGGGGGCGGGGGAAGGGGTGAAGAGGTGAGGGGACTGAGAAGTACAAATAGGTAGTTACAGAACAGCCACGGGGATGTAAAGTACAGTGTAGGGAATGGAGTAGCTGAAAACTGACACACATGGCCTGTAGACATGAACAACACACATGACCTGTAGACATGAACAACGGTGGCGGGGGCGATGGCCTGAGGGAGAGGGTGCTGGGTGGAGGGGGGGCACAAGGGGAAAGCAGGACAACCGCAACAGTATAATCAATATAATATGATTTTTAAAAATTATATTAAAATATATCTGCTACTAGAAAGAGAAGTGAAAAAACCTGCTGAAGTGTCATTTTCATGATAGTTTAATAAGGGGAAAATAACTTCCATATATGATGGGGGAGACTCTGTCCCACAGAGCTGCTCCCAGTCGCCACGGATGGGGAAATAAACTGTACCAGACACGAGCTGCCTGTCGGGAGAAGGGGTTGGCGAGTCCCTCTAGTGGAGAATGCCCCAGCCCCTGTGCTCAATGGCTTTTATGGAAAGGGTTATCAGTGGGGGCTAGGTAGTAGGAATGAATAGGTAATCTAATTACGTTACTATGTTAAAGTTTACAGAGAATAGGAGATGTTTTGAAGAAGACAAACAGCAGGAAACACACCAAATTGCTTATGTAAACATAATGCGTCAGGGTCCATGAGTAACAGTAAATTTCCTTCCCAGCGAGAGCCACTAATCACAGTTTGAGGGAAAAACAAAGCATGCTTCAAGGAGTGTAATTTACTTCTAGGCCTGATTTCCCGGGGGGGGGGGTGCGGGGTGCTGCCGGATCCAGTTTAGGGCTGTACCTGCCTATAGTATTGTTTTAAGCCTGAGCCAGGCCAGTGGAGCAAAGCAGCCAAGAGATGAGGAGACTTCTGTCAGAGAGAATGAGGACTCCAGCCATGGCAAAGCTGAGAGGTGAGGGTTTTTTGCCCCTTCTCTGCATCCCGCAAGTCCTTCTCTGATGGCTCCTACGCAATTGTGCCTGTCTTAGGTTGCCCCTGCCATTGAGGGGTCTTATCTGTCATTGACTCACCAACCATCCTCCGGGGCCAGGCAGAGTGATGTGAGGGGGACAGGTTTTGTCTCCTCAGTGGCCAGTTTTCCCAAGACCTCCTTCTCAGCTCCAGCCTTGCGGCCCTCTCGCCTGTCAGCAAGGCTATAGTTCCTGAAACCAGGCGGGACGGTTCCCAACACATACATACATAGGAACTGGAGATGGTTGTTTTCTGATGACTTCATAAGCACCTGCTTCGAGTAATTTCACCCAATTTATTGTACTGTCACAATTAAATGATGGCCACTGCAAAATCTGAGCAATGTATTAAAGTACATCATTTCTTTAGAATGCACATTTAGAATGGACACTTCCTTAATAGGAAAATTACAAGTAAACTGATTTTTTCCTGTCAGAAATACATTTAATTCTGGTTCAATTCTCATTCTGATCCATTAAAATGGAACCATTAATTATTCATCTAGTTTATAAGACAACTGCATTACTGCTGTGCACTGCCAAATTTTATAAGATAGCTCTTTAAGTGGGTTATTTTTCGCTTCAATTCCTTTTTTTTTTAATTTTTAAAAAGATTTTATTTATTTATTTTTAGATAGAGGGGAAGGGAGAGAAACATCAATGTGTGGTTGTCTCTCATGCACCCCGTACTGGGGACCTGACCTGCAACCCAGGCAAATGCCCTGAGTGGGAATCAAACCGGCAACCCTTTGGTTCACAGGCTGGAGCTCAATCCACTGAGCCACACCAGCCAGGGCTCTCTTCAGCTCTTTAGGTATTTATTTATGTAGAATTAAAATGTGGAAATTGTGAAGTCCATATGAATCATGAATCAGAATAAAGTGAAAAAGAAAATCATTATTAATATTTCTTTAATAAGTATAATTAAAATTCATTATCTTAAGTATGTGGAATCTCTAAAATAAATAAAAACAGGATCTAAAGAAAATAATGAAAAATTTAAACACATGCAGAGTATTATCCTCAAGTCAGAGACTTGAATAGAAGCACAGATGAAAAAGCAGAGGTGAGTTAAGAGTCCCACATCTGTGCTAAAGTACTGTGTGTTCTTCAGATACACCCAGAGTGGGAGATCAAACTGAAGAAGGTAGCGACTAGTAGGCACTGATTCACTTAAAATAGATATACTACTTTTACAGACACAAGTATATGAAAAGTGAAACACTAAGTGATTAGTAAATGGCACACATGGATTTACTTTCCCTGTCAATTCACTTAAGAAATATTAACGAAAGACCATAACTGTAAAATATTCCCAACCATTTGGATTTTCCAGACACTGGCTATAATCCTTTGCTTGTTTCCCTGTTCCTACCAGGTTCCCTCATCTAAGATGAACTTCCAAATACACAGTCAAACCCAGCACTAATAAGAGTTAACAATGACTGTGAATTAAGTTCCAGGCACTGAGGAGTCAGGGAAGTTAAATGACAGGCAGAGAAGCAGGCTGTCCCTGTGGGTTTTCCTCATATACTCTGAAAATTTTGCATTTTAAACTAACTTTAAAAGCATAGGGAACACAGCAGAATCTAGAGGAATGCACTGGATAAACTAGATGAGACAGTATTGAAAATGGACTGAAAAACAAAGGGTGTTGTCGACAGCTGTGTTTACAAAATGCAGGCGCACAGAGGGCTACAGCAGATCTTTCCACGGGGCTGGGCCAGCATTCTACTCCCAGGGCCTGCTTCAAGAATGTCCAAATTCTGCTGTTACAAGAGGCACCGGGCTCAGGAGGGCCCTGCCCTTAGAACGTAGAGCCTAGCACTTGGTTCAACACTCTGCCAGGAACCTGCATCATCCTCTTCCTCTTTTCCACATCCCGGCACTGAGTCCTGCTGACTCAGCCTTCTATTTACCCATCTAACTGTCCTCTCTTCTCCATTTCAACTGCCACCTCTAATCGGCTCCTCCCAGACTTCAGCAGCTACCCAACTGGCCTCCCTCCTTTGATTCCACCCCCAAATTGTTTTGCCAGATGAATGGTTTTTCTAAGTGGCATTTTCTAATCCTGCACAAAATCATTTCTCCTCTTAAAATAATCCAACAGCTGCCTGCTGACTTGAGCAAGGACTAATGAGCATGTTCTCTTGTTAGTTCAACATCTGCACTTCTTTTAGAAACATTGCCTCTGTTCTAGGAACTGCCCTACTGCCATCCTCTGAAACAATATACTTCCCATTTGAGTTGGCACCTGAACCACGCTGGGCAAATCACAGCCTTCCCTTGGGATTTGGTTAGGATGGAGGAAATTGCAAAATGTCCCAACCCAAAAGCTGTCACATGCAGGACTGAGGCCACCAACTAGGGCAAGTTGTCAATGCTGAGAGTCAGTAGTAAGAAACGGGAGTGTCTTGGAAGTCTGACTTCCTCGTTTAGCTTTCTGAGGCCCAGCTGGCATCTCTACCCTTCTGTTTAATTCTTGCTTAGACTCTCTGAGCCGATCAATTCTTCTTTTTGCCAAAGTCAGGCAAAGCTGTGTTTCTATCCTTTGCTGTTACACGTGACCATGACAAGGCACTTCATTAACTGGTTCCTACCTCTGCACCTCACCCATATATTCTCAATAAAATGCTTAATATTCCACTTATTCAACATGCTGTTTCATACCTCTTTCTCTGGACAAGCCTCTCTATGTAACCTCCAGTTCCAACTCTTGGGGTCATCTTCTCTGACTCCCTGGTCAGGGCAGGGTACCTATATGTCTAAGCTCCTACATACTACAGCTGCCCTTGTGGATGACTAACCTGACCTGTCAATTGCAGTTTGCAGAGCGGTTAAGAACTTGGAGTCTGGAGCACAATTGCCAGGCTCCCCACTGAGTACCAGTGGCTTCTCCACAAGTTGAGTAGACTTTTCTGTGCCTCAATTGCTCATCCATAAAGGTAGATACCAATAGCGGCTATTTTATAGGTTGCTGTGAAAACGAGAAGTGATGAAAACTTAACAACAGTGCCTAGCACGTAACCGTTAGATATAATCATGATCTTTGAAAACAGAAGCTAAGTAACCCCCATTTTTGTATCCCCAACACCTGGTACAATGCCTTCGCCGAAGGCCGACTATGTGTTTGCTTGACTTTTAAAGAAAAAGCCAAAGAAGAGCTGGATATGAATGCGGCACAGCTAACAGGAAGGAGTCCCAGTTTCCCAAGGCTGATGGAGGCTGGGCCTCCTTGACCCCTTGCAGGAGAGTGCTAGCTGTGGACACCGAGGAGACACTCAAGACTAACGGGGTTTCTGATAATTTAGGTTTATCCCTCTTGCAGAAGGGTTTACTGATTTTATTAGAGGTCCGGATCGCCATTACACCGAGCTTTAGAAAAGCGAATTCTCAGCATGTTTCCTGGGAAATCTCAAAAGGCAGGCAGAAATAAAATGCTTCCAGAAACTAAGCTATGCGAAGAGACCTAACACCTGACAAACTGGGCTCGCACTGCACCATTCGCAGACGCGGGGGGCCCGTTACTGGCCCTTAACTCTCAGCTGGCGAAAGAACAACTTCTCTTCCATCCTAAGGATTCGGGGTCCCTCCACCAGGACTACAATATCAAGTCAACAGCTGTGGCCACAGTTTACCATGAAAAGAAGTGAAGAAGTGAAAGGCGTGTTTTTTTGTTGTTTCTGCAACAACAGAAAAGCCGAGAGGGAACTCTAGTCTACAAACCGCGGAGACCCAGAGTCGCCTTCCCGGCTGCCGCCCCCGTAGGGCCCGATGCCCCGAGAGGCGGAGAACCTGGGCGTCCGGTCAATGGGGGTGCGCCCCGCCGGGCGGAGGTCCCTGGCAAGGGCGGCTTCCTCCCTCCCCCTCGCCCAGCCCCACCCAGCCGCGGCCCTGCCGCACGGGACAGTACCCGAGGACAGCTCCGGATCCGCGGCGCTCATCTCAGCCCTGCTCGCGGCCTGCGTGATGAGGACGAACAGAAGGAGAGCCATGCTGCTCCGGAGAGACTCCGGGAGCTGCCCGGAGCGGCGGCGGCGATCCCCCCGGCGCTGCACTTCAGCCGCGGCCGCACGTCACTTCCGACGCTACAGCAGCTCGAGCAGGAGACGGGCAGTGGACAATGAAATCGAGTTCAGAAGGCGAGGCGGGACTAGGCCCAGCAGGCCAGTTGGAAACGGGGAGGCGGGGCCAGAGCGGGGAGGCGGGGCCAGGGCGGTGCGTCGTCGCTAGGCGAGGCGAGGAGAGGCGAGGATGGACAGAGAGAGGGTCGGGGGCGACACCGACTGGGACGCGATCGTGGGCTCGAGGCAAGAGTAGGACCTCAAGGCAAGGAGAGGCCAGCTTCCAGGGATCACGGGTTTGCGAAGAACTTGGGTCCAAAGGTTTTTCGTCTTGGCACCACCTCCCGCGATTCTACTTCCTATTTTTTCAGTATCCTTGGGTTGCAGAACTTGGCCCTAGGGCACGACCCAGCCACAATCATTTTACCCTATTAGATTTAGTCATCAAGGCATCTGGGAACCTGAGAGTTTACAACAGAAAGAGGTTACGTGCCTTTTCTAATCCCTGCATTTGTATTTGAGGAACCTGAAGCTTCACTGGTGAAATGTTTTGTGCAAACTTCCACAGCCCAGGTCGATTTGGCTTGGCGAAAATCTACACCATTCCTGGTGGGGGCGGGGCGGGGGGCGGAGGAGGGAGACCACTTGCATTACCTTTTAAGCACTTAAATATCAAATAGCAATTTATTAGGCAGCTTCTCATGAGGTCTACTCGCTTTCACACATGCTATTACTCCGCATCTCTCCCCTTCCAGTCCAGGCACAGTGGGTGTGTATAAAGCTAACTACCTCACCTGCTTCAGGTCTCTGCTTATCATGCCCTTTTGCAAAAATTTGAAATTACAGTCCACCCTTCTTTCTTTTTATCATGTCCTCCTATTTTTTCTTTTTCATGGCCCTTAGCACCTTCCCCCACACTCTGTGCATATCGATAGTTACGTTCTCAAGCTCCATAGAGCTGAAACCATTGTCACTCAATAAGTAATTGTTGAATGAAAGAATGCATGACTACACCAGCATTAAGCAAAATTTTAGAGAGAAAAACCATATGAAAGAACTGCACAAACCTGAGAGAAATGTTTAGCTAGATCATTTTATTTGTATTAACGGAGCTCAGTACTTCTCCAACTTCAGTGTACAGGTGAACCACCTGGGGATCTTGTTAAAATGCAGATTTGGGTTCAGTTGGTCTGATTCAGGTTGGGGCTTCAGATGCTAATTTTCTAAGAAGATACTCAGGGAGCACGAATGTCACTAGTTCTAGAGCCACACTTTGAATAGGAAGGCGTTGGCTCCATCTAGCCTAACTTTGGGGGAATATTTTTGTTTGATGTTTATGATGCCACTATCTTAGCACATTCAGGCTGCTATAACAATATGTCATGGATCAGGTGGCTTAGGAGAAACAGAATTTTATTTCTCAAAGTCCTGAAATCTAGAAGTCTGAGATCAGGGTGCCATCATGGACCACTGAGGGCTCTCTTCCGGGTAACGGACTTCTTGTTGTAACATCACATGATGGAAAAGGAAGGGATCTCTCTGGAAACTCTAAGTGCACTAATCCCATTCATGAGGGTCCCACCCTCATAATTTAACCTCCTAATACCATCACCTTTGAGAGTTAGAATTTTAACATGTGAATGTGAAGGACACCATAGTGTGCACGGTAGGAAAGGCACCTTCTAGTCACTGATAAGGTGCACAGATAAACAAGAACTGACTTTCACTGTTTACGAGTTTATGGAGTAGGACAGAACACAATATTTGGTTCAGTTCAGTAAGCATTTTTGTAGTAACCTTCACAGGTTGGGTTACACAGGAAATAGAGTCTGACGGGGAGGTTAGGACACAAGACATGCCCATGTATGCTCTTAGGATCAGCCTCTGTGAAAGAGAGGCGGGGGAAGCAGGACCTAGCACAGGCAGAAGCTGACCTGTAATGCCATCGTGACAAAGGCTTCAGAGATCCCTTGGGTCTGCAATGGCTTTTTAGAGTTATCTTGAGTTGGTGTGACTAGTTGGGCCTTCCACTGCCAGCACTGATTAGACATTGGATGCAAATCATTCCTGGAAGGGGACATGATTTGGGGCTCTCCATTTTTTTTTTTTTTAAACTGAGGCATTCTCTAAAGAATGCTGAGAGCTGAGGGTTTTTGCCAGTGGTGGGGAGTAGAGGGGCTAAGTCTTCTATTTCTGAAGGGGGATCTGGGCAGAACTTCACAACCAGTATCTACCACAGTGTATTATCCTTTTAAGGCACTGTGCTAGTCACTTGTAGACTAAAGATATTTATTAATTCCCTGTATGTTATTGAGTGCCACTGTGTGTACATCCAACATTGCTACACACTGAGATATAGACCTGAGCAAGACAGATATGGCCTCTACCCTCATGGAACTTACAGTCTACTGAGGGGTGAAACAAGCATTAATCAAACTATTACACAAATAATTACTGAAATTGTAGTGATTGTTATCAAGGAGAGCAATAGACTTATAGGACCATAAACAGAGACTTAGCTTGGTCTAAGTTCTAAGAAAATTCTTAAGGCAGTTGCAATTATGAGGTGAAGGGCAAGGGAGAATTAGCCTTGCTAAAGCTGAGGGGTGGGGGTGGGGTGTCACAAGCTAGTAACAGAGGTAGGAGGATGATCAGTAAAATATATGTAAAAATTCAGTATATAGCTCTTATATAGCTACACAGAAGGCACATGAGCAGTGCCAGTTCCCTCGGTAAAAACCCAGTGCCTAATGGCTTAAGAATATCCAAGTATAAGTTGGTCCTACTATATCCTCTGTTGAGTTTTTAAAAACCAGTGTGGGCTAAGGAGTGGATAATTCCAGGGCAGTGCAAACTGAAGTGCTGCTCAGGAGCAAGACTACATTTTGTAGTCCACAGTCAACACAGCCCAGAGGAAGGAAGTTAAAAGACCAACTATTTGAGTGAGAACCAGACTAGGCGTGCAGCAAAAACTATATACTGTTGTCTTCTGGCACTGTACATTTCCTTCCCCTCTTCACTAGAGCAGAAATGTCTGCCAATTTCCCTTTAAAAGAGGCAGATTGAAAAGTCTGTGGCATTTAGTTCTAAATTCTGATGTCCTATGAGTGGCAGCCAATACTCCCTTCCTACTCCGTCCATGCCCTCCACTCCCTATCCATGCCTCCACACTGCCCCTTTCGAGCTCTATTTTTGCCACGGCACTTACTATCACTCACAAATATATAAGTACTGAAATTGTGGTAAGCATTACCCAGAGACAACAATTGTACCTAGACAAGTGTCTCTCATTCCATTAATATTGAATAAATATTCAATATTTTGCAAAAAGTCTTCTAGAAGATGGCTTATCTTTGAGCACTGCCTAAGACAGATGCCGCATGCAAGACTGTGAATGACAGACATTTTTCATTAGTTGACTGCTAATAACCTTTCGCAATATCTTTGTATCTTGCTGTCTTATTACTATAGAGGCTCTGAAAGCTCAATACTCATTTTCCCAGTATTCACGGCAGTTAAGCATAGTCATATGACACAGTCCCAGTCAATGAGACATAAGCAGAAGTCTTCCTGCATGCATGCTTGCACATGCAAGAAATGCAACAGGAAAGCTTGCTGGCCTTGACTCTCCTCCAATCTTTCTGCCCTAAATGTAGACACATGCTGCCTGGATCTGCAGCAGCCATCTTGCAACCATGAGGCAACACAATTGAGGATGAAAAGTCAACAGCTAAATGGAAGAATAGAAAGATAAGCCTGAGGTGTTGATATTAGCATTGGGCAGCTGAACGAGTGTCTGCAATGACATACCGCTAGTCTCTTAGTATAGAACAAAAAAAACAAAGTCTTATTGATTGAAACTCCAGCCAATTTGGTTTTCCATTAATTGAGCTGAAATTTTTCTCACTCAGTGCCAGGCCAATCTAAATAAACTCTTTTTCAGAGAGCTGGAATGTAAACCACAGTGGCAGGGGAGATGGCTAGGGGAAGAGGGAAAAGAAAAAAAAAGAAATAACCAACTCAAGGCCAGAAAGTAGAATGCTAGAATAGTAAGCAAAGATCTCTGTTGAGGGGAAAACAAGCGGCCCAGGTCTTGGAGCTGCACTGTAGCGAGAAGCTTGGTAGCACTTTGTATACCCTGAACAGTGTTCCCTCACTGCAGCCCCAGTGGAAAAGGTCACTGGTGGCTGTTTCCTCTGACTTCCCCATACAGCTTCACCAGACTCATGTGTCACTGAAAGCAATCTGAGTGTCTCTGTCCTTGCAACTAAAGGAGCCCACCTAATAATTTCTAGCCATGTGTGGTCGATCTCATAAATGACTGCTAGCATATTCTTTTAGAAAACACTTCTCAACATCACATAAAACACTGGTCTAGAGAAATTTGTTGCTAAAAAAGAACTAAGTAATGTGAGAAGCAGGCAGTTTGTCCTCAGTAGCTCATACTTCCTCTCTCAGAGCTTCTTCCTCTTCGTCTGCTTTCCTTCACCACCCCAATGCCGAGGGCCCTCTTGCCGCTTTTAAGATACCCAGAGTCCTCCTACTTTGAGAACCTAGAACTGCACTGGTTCACAAGACTTCAGCTTAAGGCTTCTCTTCATCTTGATCTTCGTTCCACATGTAGGTATACAGATCTATAATCTGCAGGCAGATGCAGAAGGCAAAAGATCCTGGGTTCTTACCCTTTGGGCTATAAATACATTTCTCCAGAGCAAAGATAAGACTTGAGTATCCAGCTTTACATCCCAGGAAATGTCTCCACTGTCCGGGGACGGGGTGAAGTGAGAATCTTCACTTCTCCTTGACATAAAACACACACACGCAACTCTGAGGAGGTAAATCTCTCTGGAATTCTCATGAGATAATCACTCCTAAATTCATATCCATGGTCGTTCTTTTAGCTTAGATCCCAAATGTCAGTAAAATCTGCTCACAAAATTTAACTGTACAGAAATGAAAATTTTCTCTACAGCCCACAGTTTGCCGGTTGAACCAGAGGCCCACCGTCTTAAGC